TAATTGATAATAAGAATTTATTAATAAAAAAACTTAAAAATATGACCTCTTAATAAATGACACACATTTATAAATTTGTATTTAACAAGTCTCCCTCGTATCAAACATATGTGATAAAAATATGAATTAAAAATAATATATAAGTAGGTTATCGAATAATTCTAACTTGAACGTAGTAGTAATAGCGGACAATAATTGAGTAATTGGTGTGACTAAGTAGGGCAAATCAAAGGGATAAGTGAGGAGATGAGGGAAAAAGAGAGTAGAAGAAGCTAAGAAAAAGAAGCCATATTTGTGGTGGAGGGTTTGGTGGATGTCTGTATGGGTTTTAACAAAGAAAAGTAAAACCAAACATATAATTCCAACAGAAAACAAGAAGAGAAGTAGGGAAGGATATATATTTGAAATTTGAATAGAAATGGGATATGGGGGTCCCTAAATCTTATTCTCATTTCAAACATTGTACTGATTTGTTCACAAATTTCATAGTATATTTCTACCTTTCTTAAAAATTATATTTGAAATTGATTTCAAAATCAAAAATAAGTTTTTAAAGCTACTTTTTTTTTTCTAGTTTTCAGAATTTTGCTGAGATTATTAGAATATTTTTGAAAAGTAGACCGTGAAATAAATAAATATATATTGATGGAAGTAGTCTCTCCAAATTTAATTTTTTAAAACATAATGAATATCAAGCGATACCTTAGGTGTCGTTTAATAACAATTTTCGTTTTTCGTTTTTTATTTTTAAAGCTACGTTATATAGTTGTTTTAAATATTTTTAAAATCTAGGTCAAATTTAATAATGAAAAGGGTAGTTTTAGAAAAGAGAAAAAAACTTGTTTTTTGTTTTTTAAATTTAGCGAATAATTTAAATATGTTTTTAAGAGAGATGAAATTTATTAATGAAATGGTAAAAAACAAGCATAATTTTTTAAAACATAAAACTAAATAGTTAACAAATAGTAATGTTATAATTTGTTGTTTTTGTTTATCCCTTTTTAATAAAGAAAAATAGGATTACATACTCCACCCTTCATGAATTTAAAAATGATAAAACAATATTTTATTTATGTTTTGGAATAAATTGGAAACAGAAACAAGAAAAAAAAATCAAAATTTTGAAAATCTTTAAAAAATAAGTGAGTAAAAAAACATAAGTAATCGTGGAATACTTATTTTTCTTAAAAAAATTAGAAACTATAAGTAAAAAATTTAATAGATGTTTAATTTTAAATTTTTTAATCTTCTCCACGTGGAGGAGAGAGGCATTGGTTGGAAGTCGGAAGTCGCCAACGCCAACCCATAATCTGCCGCAACATGGATCCAAACCAAACCACCCACTTTCCCACTGTCTTTTACAGATTTGACCTCAATTTTTTTTTCGTTTCCCACCTTCCATTGGTATTTGCCAATTGGATAAGCTTTCCCACACCCTCTTTTTCAATTATATTCTCCCTCCTTTTTTCCGAGTCCATTTTAACTTGAAACTTTTAACGTAATCGAGTTAAATTTGGAATTTTAATTCTTCACACATCACATTTGTTCGTTGTACTTTGTTTGTTGTACTAGAAAAAGCAAGATATCATATACTTACTTTTTTTAGGTTGGAAGTTCAAAATTCATCCCACCATAATTAGAAGTGACTGCAAAGACCTCTTACCTTTTCACAAGAGATTCTATCCAAATTCAAAGGCCTGTTTTTTTACTATTCGAATTTCCTGTGTTGCTTATCCGTTTGATGGAAACTACTCGATCTTCTTCTATGGCCTTTATAACAGTTTAAGTTTCTAACGAAGTTTATTTTCAAACGAAAAAAATCATGGATGCCTAAATTTTTTTCATTAGATAGATAGAAATCAACACATACATGAACTAAATCTAGAATGAAGTAATTAGGCCTCCTATGGTCAAATCAATGATTGTCTATTTTATATAATCATTCATATGATTTGATTACATCAAGATTAGAAACTATAGTTGTCAAATATAATCCTACAAGGATTTTTTTTTTATTTAAACAAAATAAATACAACTAATGCCTTCTTATAGAAGCATGCCCCCACCATATTTAGAAGAGTGGCACTAGCACCATCTTCGAAATATACCATTTTTTCCTTTTAAAAAAATTCACAATAATTTAAATAGATTGAATCATGTCTTTATAATTTGATATAATTAACAAAGTAAAATATTCAATTATTGAGACTAACAATAATCAACCAATTAACATAAGGTAATATATACCACAATATAGATTTAAATAATAGTAATAAAAACTTAATCCTCTGATTTGGTCGTTACCATGGAGGTTAATTTAAACGAGAAGTATTAACAAAACAAGAAAAATCAGTAAACTAATATATAAAAAATTACTTCAAATCATGAAATAATAAAAGAATAATTATATACGTAATCTTAAATTTTAAGATGCGACTTCTTTTTTTCAGTAAGACATTTAAGCTAAGTTAAAATTAGATAATTATGAGAGTAAATAATGAAAACTGGCAAAAGCGCAAGGAATGGGAATTGGGCTATGCTGTCGGTCGGTACTTTTTATTTTTGTGACAGTTTTTGCCCAACCAGGCTCTCTTGCCCTTTTGCAAGCTTACATTTTCTTCCATGATTTGAATTGGGCCGGGCCCATCTTCTTTCACTTTCCTTGGCCCGCCCCCACTAGATTTCTTCCACCCTCTTTCTCTTGTCGTTGTTAACGGATTAGATCGCGAATCCAAACCTAATTATTCAATGTAATTGCCACGACACGACCTTACTCACTTAACCAATTGAAATACCTTTTTAAAGAAAATTTTGTAGATTTAAAACTAAACCAGTCACGTTAATCCAAACATAACTCAATGAATAAAATATCAATTATCTTTCTTATTCTTAAAGATTTGACTCCAACTATTCAATTATTGATCTAAAAGGGAAAAATACAATGGATAAATCACCAATAACTTATCGTAAAACTTATATGGTCGAGTCTCTACTATTGTTAGAATAGTATTATTCTAATATTTTTTAAATTCTTCTTTTTTTGTTTTTTGAAAAAATATTAGTACCGTTGTAGTAATTAGATTACTCTACCCCACTTGTTTTACTAAAAAAAATGATTCACTTCACATATTTTGAATTTATAATCAATCGTTTTGGGCATGTTTAGATTTTTAAGATCAAAAGGTATTTTTTGGTTCAAAATATATTTCTGAATCGTATTTAATGGTGACGTTTATATTATTTTGTTTCATGTCTATCATGTAATATTTATTTTTTTAGTTCAGCAACACGTAAGAATGTGGTTTAGACTTTTATATATATCTACTAAGTTATGTTTAAGTTGTGAATATTCAATTATATATTAATAAATATAATATTTGAGATGATAATAGATTATTGAATTGAAAATAATATTTTGAAATAAAAATGGCATGTTATAAATGATCGATTAATTAATGATTTGAAATATGTTAGTAAAAATATTGATGCGTTCATTTTTATAATCTTTTAAGTACTTCAATTTTAAAATTTTAAAAGGAAACGATATTTACTAATTTTTTTCACACTTTAAATTAGCAATTAATTATCGTATTTATAATTTTTTCATGGACACGCATGATGCTTGGAATGTTTATCATCATATGAAATAGAACGCATACGAATACTCTAATCAGAAAATCAATTGACACGTCATTTATCTCCCAAATAACACATCACGTTAATCAATTAATTTTTATCCAGATCTTGATTAATCAAAGTGACGTGGTACTTGATGGGGACTTTTTTTTTTTTTTGGAGAAAACTTGATGGAGACTCATTAATTAATTCACTACATAAATTTATAAAGATATTTCATAATATTAAATTTTTTTAGTACAACATGTCGAAGAGGGGATTCGAACTCACAACCTTTTAATTGAAGATATTTGTCAATTAACGTAGAACTATGCTTGCTTTGACCATAATATTTAAATTGATTCAACTTATGGATAACTAACTTAATCAATCAGCGATATGAAGATAATTCAAATGGATTAGACGTTAATACTATCTCAAAGATTGATGGGTCAACTCTCACCCTTGTAATTGTTTAACTAAAAAAATAATTAAGTTAGTCGATCAAATCTAAACATAGTTTAATCGGTCAAAATATTATTTATTTTCCTAAAATGTTGATGTTACTAATCTCTCCATCTCATTATTTGGACTAAGAAATTAATCAACCTAACTTTTTTTTAGTATAACGAATCAAATAATCAACATTAACATAGTTAAGTGGTAAATAACATATGTTCATTCTTTTGAGATCGGAGGTGATGTAATAAAAAAGAAAAAAGTTTGCATGAGATAAAATTATATTAAAGTCGCTCGAGGATCAGGTAGCTACAGAGATAAGAGATAATGAAGTGAAAAATATAATACGGTTTACTCGAATTAATTACTTTGAGTAATATTAACTAACAAAAATTGGATATCAAAAAGAAATTAATAAAAATTTATTAAATTTGCAGTTTATTTTTAATTAAAATAAATATAGAACTAAACGAAGATTTGGGCTGAATTAACTGCCTAACCACACAATGGGCTCGGGCCAAATTTACCGGTCCAGAAGCCACCAAAATGACAGCAGGACAGTTTTCACCCAATATGGGTCCAAAACAATTTGTCGGCCCATTATAATTGGGCCGTTTAAACCACGGGCTTCAAAATCAAAACAAGACGCACCCCAACGAGGCAACGAATCAGCAAAACGTGTATTTAGATAAGGGTAAGACAGACGAAATAAAAATTCAAGTTTCTATTTCTTTTTATTTTATTTTATTTTAGTTTTCTTGTTACTTGCAAAGGAAAAAATAAAACACAATACCGGTCAAAATATCAGTACCAAAGTCTGTGGGCTCAAACAAAAAAACCACGATATNACCAAACCCTTTACCTCATTAAAATCAACAACAAAAAAATGAAAAATAATATATAGTTTTAGATAAGAACGGAGCCAAAAGATAAAGACGCCCACTTCAATTTGGTATTTATAAATATTTGTTTTCTCTTCGTACTAAGAAAACCATACAGTTTCATTTCATCAGATCATCGGAGTTTGAAGAAAAAGTTTATTTTCAGAGATAATAATGGGTTCGTTAATGGCTGGTTGGGCGAGTGATCCGGAACAAGGTAACCCTTACTTTTTCTTTTATGCTATTTCAGTTTCGCCCCAAAATTCTACAGAAAATATTAAGTATTTTTATGTGATTTATTTATTTATTTTCAGTGAGTCACCGGAGGAATAAATCATTGACGAGGGAAGAGATTGAAGCGTTTTGGAAAACGAAGAAACAGTTGGAGGAAGAACATCTGAAAGCCATTTTAAGAGATCCATTGGAGAGCTCTGATGTCTCTGCTCCAAATCATCTCTTTTTTCTCTCTCTATATAATTATTTATATCTTTATTTCTTTCTTTAAGTTATTTTTGGGTGTGACTTTTGCAGGAAATTAAAAAGGTGGAATTTGGTGGAAATCTTCAGAGATCGAATTCTGTGCCTCCATTAAATACAAATAAGAGTTTCATGGCCATGGAATCTGAAGCTGACTTAGAGGAGAAGCCCAAGAAAAATGGCTGGTAACTTTAATTCTTCAACATAATTTACTTTTTTTTTTCTGTTATTACCATAATATAAATGGTCTAAAATGCTACTTATTTTCAAAATATTTATTTTAGCCATTTTTCAATTGGATCGTTTTGGTTATTTATTTTATCACAATTTTAACCTAATGTTATACTTAATATATTATAAAAATATAGTCAAGATTATATACTAAAAATTTTTAAATTTGTGTTAAAATTTTATACCTACGTCACATTTTTAGAGTTTAAAAGACCAAATCAAATGTTGTTTAAATAGTGAATTAAAATTAAAAATATAAGAATTAAAATCAACCAAAATAAATAGATTTAATGGTGTGTATTATATATATTTTTTAATAATAAGATGAAATATTGTTTTAACCATTTAAATAATTGTAGATGAGGATTTATGATAAATCTTGGGGTGTGACCGTTGTGGTCTGTAGGTGGAGAAGGAGCAACTGGGCATTTCTAAACGAACCGCCTGTGACAGAAGGATCTGGTAACAGGTACGTATCGCAGTTCCACGTGGCAAACGTGGCGGCTTCCAAATTCGGTCGCGGTGGAGTCAGTGCTGCTTGAGAAACCCGAAATCTGGCTGCGTCGGTGTGTGCGTGCAATAGGAATTAGGATAATGTGAATAAGCTATAAAAAGAAAAAGAAAAAGGATTGTAAATTAATTAGTTTTGGAGATCTTCTGAAGTTTCAGTGAACAGTTTGATTAAACTTTTGTTGTTGTTGCTGTTTTTTTTTCCCCTTTTTGTAACTAATTTATGATCTATATTGTGGAAGGTCTGTGAAAATATATTTGGTTATTTTATCTATCACTGAGTTTTCATATTGAGAAAGATGAGTTATATTTTCTTTTTGTTTCGAGAATTGAAAATAATATATTAATGTAATAAAGTAGCATGTATTGAATTATATTTTTCAAATATTACTCATTATCATGTTTTATTAGCTTGATTACTCCATTTAAAATTTTATAGGAAGTTTCGAATTTAATATTCTTAATATTATTTATTCCTTTCCATACACAGGTTTGTTGTTTCATAATTTTGATTACAAAATTGTAACAGCTTTAAATGAACCAAGTAGTTTCATTATTTTTTTTCCTTCTCTTATCTAGAAATAAAACAAAATATCACGTCCATGGAATTTTAACTACAATCATCTGAAAATATAATTTGATATAATTATGGTAGCTATATATTATAATTGCATGAGTAAGTTGACTTTTAAGTCATTGTTTTATTTGATCAAATTTTATTTAGAATGGATACATCAATAATCAATTTGAGAAAATCTAAAAATTGACATCAAAACCAACTTTAATGTATATATATGGAGGCAGACTTAGACAATTGGGAATTATTTAATTAACGCTCAATAGAACCACGACAAATTTATAAGTCAAGACCATGCACATCCGGAAAGATCTAATTTGAAGAATTCTCAAATTCATGTCGTTTAATATTATTTTTATTTTTATATCATTTAATATTCTTATTAAAGTGTAATGATAGGGGTAACAACCATCATAGAAATGGCCAAACATCTTTTTTGAAGAATCGCCAAGTAAAAATACAAACATGGGTACTAAATTATCCTCTCGTGATTTTAAAATGAATAATTATTTTTTCTTTTTTTATTAGTAAATCCTACCTATGTTTTTTCCTATCAATTTTATAGAATAATTTAAATATTTTAAAAATATTATCTATATTTTTTAATTCAAATATTTTCCCAACAAATTTGCAGGAGAATTATAATAACAAAACTAAGGAAAAGAAATCTTCACTAAATCAAAATCTAAAACAAAATTTAAACAATAAAACCATTATTGAAAATGGTACTAAAAAGTCTCACTAAGTTAAGCTTAGGTTGGAAAAAAAAATCTCAAAGAATATATAATAAATATTAATAAACAAAATATAATTAAAAATAGAAATACTAGGATCATGACTAACACAGTAAGGGACGGTACACAAATAATGTGAACAAAAAATAGGTGTATTTTTATAAATAATTAATACTAAAATATAGGTACACGATATTTATGCAGTATATACCCGTCTCTTCTCTCTCCTCTCCTTTACCCTCTGTCACCCGCTGCCCTTGCTTAATTTCTATCTCCATTGTGATACCTTTAATCTCTTTCTTTCTTTCCCTCTCCGATCATCTCTCTCCAATCATCTCTCTCGGTGTGCTATCTCCTTACATTTAGCGAGTTCTATCTCCACATATATATCAAAGTAAGTTTATAACAATAGTAGTTGGGAAAAAGACTAAAATGGAGATTTTTTTTTTTTAATATTCGTGAGTGTCCGTGTCAGCTTACCCGCACCTAGAATAATCTCACAGAACAACCGCCTAACCCTACCAACATTTGGTGTCGGGAAACACATAGGAATTACACTAATTCCTAAGGTAGGTGGTCATCCTGGGATTTGAACTCATTTCCTCCTAATTAACCCTAGTCTCTTTGGACCAATAAACAATCCATAATGGTTAAAATAGAGAAAAACTATTAGAAAAATAAAATCATTTTTTAAAATCGGATGACAAAGATGGACACCGACTATAAATCCTTTAAATAGCATACATTATATAAATTGTTGTGGGCCAAGCAAATACGACATGGCCATGCCGATAATCTGGTGGTGGTATGCAATAATATAAGAGATGGTGCGCACTTGCGTCATGAAAGTGACAGGGTAAGGCCTCTCCTCCATATTTCCCGAAAAATATCAATGGTTGGGCCATTATCGGTGATGAGCATGGCGAAATTCAAACGCCCAGTAGGATTGCAACCACCCCAGACGTTATAAAAATATGGAAGAGACAACTAACATAAATTTTGTCAATTTTGTATTCATATTTTAAAATCTTAATTTCGTCCATACCTGAAATTGCTCTCTCCTCATACTTCGAAAAGCATTTGGACCACTGTCTCTTTGTACATGACGTCTTGCTTGCTATTGTAATTTTGTTTCTCTCCTCCCTTTTCAGGAACTTCAACAGAGATTTCCAATGTCGGCGCCGGCGCCGGCGCCTGAGCGGCTACTGTTGCCACTGCTTGCATTTTAACCAAAGCCATAAGCGTTTGCATGGAATCTTCTACTGAGCGACCCATCATTTTTCTGGTCTTGATTTTCGCACTTTTCTGACCTGCCAAACGTAACATGAACACAAAGTCATGAATCTTGTCTGATTAAAGAGAATTAAAAGAAGATCAAATTTGAAACCAAAGGCGGAAGCGAGAAGAAGAAAAAAAATCACTTCAGTTTCATTACATAGGCCAGAAGCTGATTTCTTACCGGTTGAATCAGCAGAGGCAAGCCTTGAGTTCTCTGAAAGGAAAATTAGAGTGGGGGTGATGACCGTGAGGATGGCCCAGAAGAAGAATATCAAAACGTAAGTTCTAGCAGTCATTTTGGCAGAAACAAAAAGGACATGCAACTGCGAACTAAGAGATTGGGGAAAGGCTGAAAGATTACAAAAACACTGAACACTTGGATAAGAAATTGCTAACTCACTCAAATGCATTTTATTTTCCTAGTCACTTTCTTTTGGCATGAAAGTAAAAAATACTTGAGAACTCAAGTAGTGGTTTCTCTCTGTTAGGTTGTTGAAGGGTTGTTACAGCAGTTGGGATTTTGATGACACATCCATCAGTCTGCCATCTAATTCTGGGGTCAGCCAGGAGATGAGATTTTATTTGGAAATTGAATTGCTGTTATCTTCAATAATGACGGTTTACTTCTAAATTACTCAAAGTCGTTGCAACCCAACAGCCTAACCTAGATTGTTCCAATAACCCAATAGTTAGTTAGCTTTAGCTTTGTTAAGACTTGAGACAATAGATTCCTTCTACATCTCCATGGTGACATTTTGATTCTTCATCTTTTGAGTTTATGCTCGGTTAATTCTAGTTTTGAGCGAAATCTAAAACCTCATTGAAGAGTCTTGGGAATCGGCCAGGAGTTCACAAACTTTGGAACCTCCACACTCCAAGTTTATTTGCAGCTTGTGATCAAGTCTCCCTGTTATGGGTGCAGAAATCAGCCACCACAAACCAACAAGAAACTCTCATGGAGTCTGGGGAATGTGAAGATAACTTTTTTGTCAGCTATAAGCTGGTGCACTGATTAGATATATCATAATCTATCAACCTAAGCTATTTTATTTATTGATATAATAATTGAACCTTCAATCAGAGCTAGATAGTAGCAGTTCTAATATTGGTCTTTGTGAATTAAATTAATATTCAAATCCATGCATAAAGGAGATGGTAGAGATATTGAAGCGGATCAATATATTCTAATTTATCAACTTAAAGTTTTTAGTCTAGTGATGATTGAACAGGCCAAACTTTGGCTATAACCATGAGCAAAGTACCAAGGAATTAGAGACATTCCAAAGGCAAGGTGATGATGAAGGGGCATAAAATGATAGCTGATAATTTGGAACCAACCTACAGGCCAACTGTGTCATTAAGAACATTAATATTGCTAGAAGCCTGAAACTGTAACTGAAGTCAATAAAGTGAAATTCCTTGAGCTTTGATCATTTTGAACTTTCAAAAAATAGTTAGGTCTTCTTGATTACGCCAAAAATCAGAGTAATTCTTTAGGTTGTCACTTGTGTATGATGTAGTGAGGAGAGTGTGAATTCGTGTAATGTGTTGTTTAGGTGCGAGAGAAAGATGGATCTTCAGAGTAAACAGAAAATAACAATCAAAATATGAACAGAAGAAGAATCGAAAGCATAGGTAAAAACAATTACAATAATATATAAGAAGAAATAGTAACAATTCCAATTCACATTACACAAGTGGCTAAAGCCATAGCTTCAGAGTCTTATTCCCACGACTTAAAACGAATTCCTATCACCAGAAAGAATAAGCCGAAAGAAATTACCGCAGCTTGAATTTAAATACCGACGAGAGATTCGGCATTGATACGAAGTTACGAACCTACGCCTTGTCGACGAGTTGGACGGCGACTCGCAGGAGCCGTTCTTTCTGAACCACAGTTTCATCGCCTCCATAGCGCAATCCATTTGGAAAAGATACCCTACCGGACTCCACGCCGTGATGTCGATAAAGATTTCTGAACATTCTTTCAACGACGGTATTGTGATCGAAAATCACAAAGAAGAACAATGGCTATCCAAATTCCAGCGTTCTTTCGAATTCTTTCATCTGGAATAGATAAAATAGGGAAGTGGAAACCAAAGGGAGCTTTTCCGATGATTCTCTCCTCCTCCGAGATTCTACAGTGTTGCAGAACGAACAATGCAAATGCGAACTTTATTTTTCATTTTTCTTTTTTAAAAAGCACTGTAAAAATGTAAAATCCAGAAAGCCCATCCAACATGCGGCCCAGTCTTGGGCTCGGCCCTAAACATTGAGCTGCAAGGCCCATACCGTTACAAGAACAAAAAACAATAGCTGCGCTTTTCATGGGGGCACAATTCTATAATAATAAACATAAAATAATAAATTAACACTTTTACCTTTTATTCCACAAATTGTTAATAAGGCTCCCATGAATACATCCAGGGTCCACCATTAACAAATAATGATATAATAACAACAATGTGCTCTGTCGTACATTTGAATCCATATTCCACATAAATTTTTTTTTAAAAGAAACTCAAAACTATTTAGATTCTAATTCCAATTCAATTTCTGAACAACAACAATAATAATAGTAAAAATGATGATCCAAGATTTTAAGATCTTGAGATGAAAATCCGTGTCTCGCTTAAAGGAGGCACATAATTGAAATTGGGTACTGAAATCCCAGTGAAAGTGTTTGATCCATATCTACAACATGAGTGCAAAATGATGGCCAAATAAACAAATCACCATCATACTCATACCTTTAAAAAAAAAAAAAGATGTAAGAAAATAAAGTAAATTTTGCGAGGAAATTAAAGAAACAAAGAGAAGAGTGTATGGGGGTGGGGATGGGGATGGTCAAAGAAGCTGAAATGACGATGATGATTAAGGAAATGGGTTAGAAAAAGGCAGCGTCAAAAGGAGAGGAAATGTGGGACAAAATCTGATTCAGCCATGCCCACCACCGCCATTGCTTTATTAATGCTTTAATTTTACATAGCCCCATCGTCATGATTCATAGCTTATTTTAATAGCCATTCTGAGGTCAAAGGCTTTCGCCGGACCCCATGCTCCTACCCCTAGGCCCTGTTCCCTACCAAAATTACTTTATCAAACACGTTGCTCCCTGACTTGTCTAAGACTAGATTTTTTTAGTACGCCGAGTTTAAAAAAATGAATGTATGCAAATTACTGTTCATATTGGTATATGAAATGAATGTTAATCTTTTTATCTCAATATTTTTTTTCTTCCTACTTAAAAAATATATTGTGACAAAGAGTAACTTTTATCTATTTGAGTTAATGGATGGATTGTGATCTTTTTAACTTTCAATTTAAGCGATTTGAATTTTAAATTTGAATAAGTCGTAATTACTCAGTATTAATTCTTTCGATTATATTTAGGGGAATAATGTATAAAGGACTTTCAATTTAAGCGATTTGAATTTTAAATTTGAATAAGTCGTAATTACTCAGTATTAATTCTTTCGAATATATTTAGGGGAATAATGTATAAAGGATTTGTTGTACTTCGCAGAGTAAGTATAAAATACTTAAAGATTTTACATAGTTTTTTTTTTAATAGTTTGTCTTTCTTAATTTTTTCTCCCTTTTTAGTCCAAGCCTTCTTTATTCGTTTCATTTGGTGGGTAATGAAAATTTAAACTTAAAAATTTGAAGTTATGTATTTTAAGTTTAAATATTGTTCTTGGTATTCGACTTTTACTATTTGTTTTGGTTGGGTTCTTAAATTTTTATTATTTTGTTCATATAGTTTTTTTCATTTTTTATTTTTTCCCTTTATCTTTGAATATAATATATACTCGGTTCCACCACCTATAGAGAGAGCCAAGTCTTGTATTTATTTATTGTTGATTTGAATGATGACGAGGCAAAAAGTTAGTCATGATTGGACCAGTGGATCATTGACAACTATTTTGAACAGGCCCAGTGGGCCCATTTTTTCTTGTTCCCGAGTGCCCAATTATTCCAACGGTTCCACCGATAGGTCAAATTCTCAATCGATCTCGGGCATTTTAGAGAGACATTCATGTATTTGATGATATATAGAAATTGGATTGATCAATGTCGCAATGAATTTAATCTCTATAGTTTTTTAAAATTTAAAGGATCATTTTTATAGTTTCGACGTAGTTTTAACTTGATTCTCAGAATTTTAAAAGTTTTAATTTTTTTCAGTTTAGACATAGTTTTAACTTGATTCTTAAAATTTTTAAAATCTTAATTTGTTTCTTATAATTTTAGGAGTTTTAATTTGATCCCTATCATTTGAATTTATTGGTAGGTTTCTATCATTTTAATTTATTTCTAATTTAATTATGTAGTTTTAAATGCTCCAATACAATTATTATAGTTTAGTTAAATGCTGCAAATATTGTTTACCAACTTATTTTTCTGTTTTTGGTAGGTTAATGTTTTCTACCTGACTGATTATATTAGTTTACTATATTTAGAGTTTAGAGTTTAATAAATAAAATAAATAGGTAAATTTTTTGCTTGGTAAAACACCATTTATGAAAAATTTTGTGATATTTAACCAAATCAAAGGGACGGAATTGAAAGTACCACTCAGACTATAGATTTGATTAAAGCTTTTTAACTATAATGGTCCATCTAAAATTAAGTTTGACCCATAAATACTAAATTGAATCTCTTAAAAATATAGGGACTCAGAGATTATACTAGAATGCAAGGAAATAGATTTGGAATTTAACCCTCATTCAAATATGTTTAATCATAAACATGTTAAATCATTAATAAACTCAAAAGCTTAAGTGGATGGATTTTGGTAAATTTAATATATAACATTCTCTTTGGTGGGTTTGAAAATTTGCACAAAGTCCAACAAGTATAAATAACACACGATTTTCTTCTCTGATTCATCTTGAACATATTAAATTACTAACGAACTACAAGTTTAAGTGGATGGATTAGGCTAAACTTAATTATTTATAATATATTTGACCTTTAAATTTTGTGAAATTTTTAAATTGATTTGCTTCTCCAAAAAACCGTATATTCGAAAATAAAATGTCATTATATAATTAAAAAAATTTTAAAAAGTTGTGAATGGTGGGATCGTTGGGGTAATTATTTCCATTTCCTGTCGTTGTGCCATGTGCAGATACAGAAATTAATAGCAAAATCCATTTCCAACATGCTGATTCGTACGCCAAATTAATTTGAGGGGCCAATTCCATTAATGTTTCAATTTTAAATGCGTCTGTTTTGCAAAATATATATATATATATATTCTATATCCTTTCTAAATACTAGCAATATTTCAAAGGAATACTTTTGCAAACTGGTTTCTAGCGGAAGTTAGTAAGCGAAACAATGAAAGATTCTTGGCCATCATGGAATGGAATTATCAATTAATTGCCAAACTAGAAGCCCTTTCCCTTATTTTATTGGCCTTATAATAATTAATAAGTGTATTCCTCCTCATGATATGATATTTAATAACTTGGAAAAATTAGATCGTGAATTATGTAATTATTATAATTTATGTAATCAACTTGATAAATGTTAGATATTTATAAATAAATTAAATTTATCTCATCCACCAGAGATATATGCCAATTACTGTTGAATTATGCTCACTTTGACAATTACTATATAACTTGTAAGTGTAATTGAGGTTGAAATGTTGTGTGAGTAAGAAAGAAATTCAACGATTAAGACATCTTGCTCATTTTTTAGAGGTCGGAGGTTGAATCTTCCGTTCCGATATTTGTTATACTAAAAAAAACTTAATGTTAAATTATTTTTTTTAAGAAAATACATGAGAACAATTAATATAAAAACCAACGACTTCATTTAATTTTTTTTCAAAATTTACTCATTAATGTTTCTAGACAAAAAATAGGAAGTCTTAAATTTAGTGTATATATATTTTTCCAAAAGTAAGCATAATTTATTACAGTGCTATGAATAGAATTCATTTAACTTCATAAGTTAGCTTATAGAAGATTCAAATAAATTTTAGATAATAATTAAAGATGTAATAATGTTTTTATGAATGGTTATAGATTAGATTGGACGAGCACAAGACAGGAGTTGGGTCACAGGAAGAGCGGCTCACTAGATAAGGAGGCTAAAACCTGGCGACGAGGAGTTCTCGGCCCCTGACCGAGCACCCTAATGGTTCTCTCCCGACCTCACGTAGCCCTATTTGAGTTCACCTTGTCTCGATCTTGGGTTCAATATTGGGTCAATTACGAAAAATACGAGTCCATAAGTCCAGATCTTCTAAGCACACTAGAATTCAACTTTGGTAATTCTTAAAGAGATTACAGTTCGACTTTTATAAATAGAAGGGTAAGTCAAACCCTAGAGGTATGTTTACAATACCCTACACTTTATATTAAATTACTCTGATCATAACTTAAGCATTGAAGCTCGTGTGGCGATCCCTTTATTCTAAAAGATTGATGCGAATATTGACGGAATGTTGAGAAGTCAAATTTATGCATCAACATAAATTATATTCTAATGATATTTTTTCAAACATCACGTCGTGCTCTCTAAAAAATAAACACCTAAATTTAGACACATATCTTGTTACTCCTATAAGAATAAAAAAAACCACGGGTTACCTAACTTTGGTATCTAATGCATTTAAGTAAATTAATTATTAAAACTTCATCTTGAATTCTTGACTGCAATTAAAAAAAAAGAATTTGGAAAAGAATTTTTGCTACACTTTTTCACTAAAACATGTACATGGAAGTATATGTCAATTACCGTCACTTGATCTATAGTCAATAAAACCAATTTTATCATGCGACGTCGTTCGGTGGATTTTGACAGCTGTGGCTGAGTTGGAATTTAGAACAGTAAAATTGTCACTTTTCCGAAATGGTTCGAAAGTCATAATCGTAATTTCAATCCTGACATTTTTTTTTCTTTTTTTCATTTTTGATATGCGTGATTGGCAACACGTTCGACAAGAAACAAACATCCACGGTGAATCTTGACAGTAGAAAAGCCAATTAAATTCCACATATGACGGATACTGATAGAGACCGCGCCTTATCTCCGCCTCCGACCGCCTTATCCGGCCACTGTTCCGGACGTCGCCGGTGAATCCCCGCTTTCGTTGTTTGGTAAGCAAGTACGTGGCCGCTTCACCGTCAGACGACATTTCATTTTCGCCCACTTTCTTGGCAACTTCTCTCTCGTTTTATTCTCTCTCCGTGTTTGACTCTGTAGATTCTACTGCGGAGGAGGACCGGAGAAAGGAAAACAAGGAACAGAGAAGTCTCCTCAGACCTAGAAACTGCTTTTTCCATGGAGTATCGAGCGTCGTCTACTGTCTACAAGAAATTTTCAAATGCTCGCAGTTTCAACGATAAATCGGCGTATGATGGCGTCTTCGCTGCTCCGTCCAAGCACGGGGCTCCGGTCTTCTCTGCTCGAGTCGAGGACTACAGAGAAATTTTTGGCGGTTCGCGAGTCTCGTCGATTCCGATTCTTGATGTTCCGGCACTCAGCGATAAGAAGCATCCGGTTGATGTTCGTAGCTCGAAGCTCGAGTATTCGAAGATTTTTGGTGGTTTCGACGAGTTAAATTTTGCCATTTCTTATGAGGAACTTCTGGCCGAGTCAAACAAAGCAAAATCGTGTCCTCGGGAAGCTAGGTAAGCTATTGTTTTCTTAATATGCAAGCTATTTTGAGAATTAAGAACTTCATCGTTCGCGGAACGATTTCCATTTAATAATCTGTTTCTCCTTTTATCCGTTTATTTATTCACCGGAACATCGTCCATTGTCGTCGCGTGAAGTTCCTTTTCACCAAACAATCCTTTTCCCCATTTTGTTCAGGGAGTAGGTAGAGTGAGATTTAAAGATACATATTTAGGCCTATCTCGTGTAAATGGAGAATTGAAAATCGGTTGTTCGTCGGATCAGACTGCACTTGATGCTAAATCGAAAGAATTTATTTGATATTCTTGTCACCATAGCAATAAAACGCTGAGATACAGGCATCCACTTAGTAAGCCTATTGCCTTTTTGGGCTTCATCCTTTACCTAGGCGGTGGTTCATTTGATTGGAATTATTTTTGTCCTTCCCAATTTGTGTTGGCCGCTTCCGTACCTTATTTTTCTCTCGCGCTCCATACCAAGAGCAGCAGAAAACAAACCATTAAGGAACAATGAATATCGTGATTTGTTTGTGTCGATGAACTTTGTACATTGTTGCTGTATCGTAGGACTTCAGCCGGAAGAGGATCCTCGGCAGCAGAAAATTCTTCTCAGCATGGAAAGGAGAATAACTTTTCCACGCGTGAAGCATCATCTCAACCACTTGATAGAATGGAGTTGGAGAAGATCAACGTTTCACATCAAAAGGTCAACCGAGGAAACACAAATTGTGCAATGGAGACAGCTCACGTAGCTCTTCCCCGTGCTGCTCCAGGTTTTTCATGTTTAATTGATGAACACTCCCCCGTGGAGATGCGTAGAGCTGATAAGCCAACATCTGAAAAATTGAATTATATTTGCCCAGAAAACATTGAGAGTGAGGTGGCAAAGAAGCCAGAGCTTCCAATTTCTGGTGACAGTGAACAGACTTTTAGATCAACTAACCCTACCAATTGTCAAAACAGAACTGGCTGGTTTAGATCAGATTCATCTGATAAGTTATTCAATGGATATGAGGTGGATCAAGGGGTACAGGATCCTGAAACTCCACCAAAATGTAATGTGCTTCCTAAATTTGGTATAAGTGATGGATTTTCAGGGAGAACAACCGGTTTAAGGTCTGAAGCTTTTGAGCACTCTGAAAATCCTTGCGATGTTTCTTCACCACCATATTTTGGGGAAGAGGTTGATGTGGATCCAGTTGCTGCTGCCTCGGTTGCAGCTTTGAGAAAAGCAATTGACGCTGCTCAAGAAAGGATAAACATTGCTAGGGTGTCAATGGAAAGAAGGAAAGGTGCCGGACTTCAAAAGCATAAAAAAGTGAGGTCTTCTAGGAACCTAAATTCTGAAGAGAGAAGGGAGCTAAGAAGTTCAAACAATTCAAGCACATGCCAAGAGAAGATGGCTGGGGAAACATATGGAAAAGTGGATACATCAGAGCAAGGTTTTGCTGAAAGCAGGAAGCAGAGTTCATCTGCAGAATGTCCTGCCACTCAAACAGTGATGAGGGAAAATTTAAATGCCACCGAAACAAATTACATGGAGTTTTTGTCAACAAAAGTTGATTGTAGCGAGGAAGAAGCAGAAGAATTAGAAGCAGTAGAACAATTTTATGAACCTATGTCTTTTGATAAAGATGAGGCAAAAGAACTAAAACGTGAAAAGGAAGACAATGCAGATGAAAATAGATGGCAAGGAAACAATGGAATAGAGGAAACATTTGAGAATCCTGGAGAGTATGGTGATAGCTTTGTACAGGTCAAAGAGGCCAAGGAACCTGAGGAAAGTGGCATAAATTTAAGTGTAATGAAAGGTATACTTTTAAGCAAATTAAAGTCAGTTCTAGGCGTCGTTGAGCATGAAGAAAATAAGATAAAATGTGGGCAAAATCAGCTAGAAACTGAAATAAAGGCCGAGGCATCCATGAAACATGAAAAGTGTGTGGAATTGCTGGAAGAGCTTCAAGTAACAAAAGATCATGAGAAGCTTGCAATCAGGGAGATGGGGGAAAACAACAATATGGAGACCCAAGTAGAGGCTCATCAATGGGTGGTGGAGGAAGTAAGAGATATCTGCCAACGAGAAGAAGAAATTGAAACAAATACTGTCCAAATTGAAAAGGATGTTGAAAAGATATTAGACGAATCTAATGAAAATGAAAGAAATATAAATTGGATTAATGACTCCCATGATGGCAAAGAAGCTGAAGATATGAAAGTAAATGGTGAATCAAAACGAATTGAGGAACTTCAAATAAACAAACAGGATGATGAGATGATTGCAGGGCTTTCCTTTCATTTGTACAATAATGAGAATGGACAAACAAGCATTGGTGAATGTGCAGTATACGAGAGCATTGTAAAAGAAACTCCAGACAATCTGAATACTAAGAATAAAATTGAACTAGAAGATGGTTTATGTGAGCAGGATGAATGTGATAACATCTCAGAAGATCTGGAAGCTAGTAATTTTATAGAAAGTATGGAAAGAGTAGAAGTGATTACTGACCAACCTGAACATGGAGACACTGATATTTCAACAGAAGTAGCTATGACTTCCTTTGAAGCTGTAAATAACGAACCTGGGGCAATTATAGAGGAGGGTGACATGGAGGATAGAGTACCTCCTAAATTGTTTTCCACGGTTGAGGATGCACTTAAGCGTGGAGAATTAACAATTAAAATGGAAGATTCTGATGCAAGCCATATTTCCATCCAAAATGGGATAGATTTTGGTATGATAAATATGAAATTGGAGGAAATGCAATATGATACACCTGTGAACTGGTCCTCTATATTCTGTAGTTTGGGAAACGCTGAAGGTTTCACTCCTGAACTTAGAGTAATTGAGAGAAATAAAAAGAAAATTGAAGTTTCATTGAACGAAGAGAATTATAATGATGATTCACATGAAGAGATGCTCCATGATGAGAATAATATTGAAACGGGTAACCCACCTAGTATATGTGAAGATGAGAAGAAAATCAGTGTTGTAATGGAGGAAACTGTCACGAGCATAATTACTGGAGCAACTGTGGAGAACCATCATGCAACTCTCAAAACAGAAGAGAGTGAAACTGATTATGTTTTGGAAAAAGAAGTGCAGTTGGAATCCAATGATAACAATACTATAGCAGGTAGCCAATTTGGCATGATTGAAATAGACTCGGAAATAATTCATGAGATCAAAAGAAGTCAAAGTCCAAGAGAAAGTGAGAAGAGTTATGAAGAAATCATGAGAGAGGATGGAATTGTAGCTAGTGATTCCTCTGATAAAGAGAAGGAATATGCAGTTCACTTGGAAAATTTGGAAGAAGCTAATTCGCCTGGAAGTTCTGGAAGAAAAGAGAATTTAGCAAATATAGAACAGGAGGTTAGTACTAGCCAAAAGGGAATAGCAAATGAGAATCACCAAACAACCCCAACATTGGATGAAATAGGAATTAATGCTGAAGTGCAGAGAGAAGCAGGAGTTGAATCTGAATTCAACAATGAGACAGCAGCAGCTCATGGTTTGTCTCAAGCTGAAGAGGGAGTAGAGGAGTTACCTGAGATGCTGACAAATCAAAGTATCTTAGAAAATGAGGAGAATCGTCAAGCCCAGTTAATGGAGGAGGAAAAGGTATCCCATGAGAAAGTTGAGAAAGAAGCTGAAGTGATAAAGGAACGGCAGAGAAAAATAGATGAAGCAAAAGAAAAGGAAAGGGAGAGAGAGAGATTAGCTGTAGAAAGAGCAATACGCGAGGCTCGTGAAAGGGCATTTGCAGAAGCCCGAGAGAGGGCTGCTGCTGAGAAAGCATCTGCTGGCACTCGACGAAGAGTAATGGCTGAGGCACGTGAACGCTCGGGGAAGATTTCCATCGAGGCTAACAAGAAGCCTACCACGGAAGCCAAATTAAAAGCTCAACGTGCTGCTGTTGAAATGGCTACTGCTGAGGCAAGAGAGCGTGCTCTAGAAAAAGCTATGTCTGAAAAGGCTATTTCTGAGGCAAGAAATCTGGCCGACAAGATTGTTGCCGAAAAATTATGTGGTGCTGCTGGAGATGGTAAAATAAAGAAGAGCTTTTCATTTAGTGTGAGTACCTTTGTTTTTTTCACTCTGCTCCTTTTTCAAATTATCTATGAAAGAATTTAACGGACGCGTGGTAGTGATTAACATTGAAAAGCACTTATGCAGGACTCTCAGCCAAAAGGTCCAAGTCCTTCCAGCAATTTCAGACATGCGAATTCATTTAACCTTGGAGGTGAGTTATGCGCCAAGTACCTTTTTGGTAGACTTGCTTAAAGATTTCACTATTACTATTATAAAAGCTTGATAACTGGAATGGACCAATATATTGTTCTGTGGCTGTTTATCTGCGGTTTCTGAGCAATTTGTGACTTGATAAAGGTCCTGAATCTTCTGAGAGAGAGGTGGGATCTGATGGGGAATCAGTTCAGAGATCTAAAGCCAGGTTGGAGAGACATCAACGAACAGTTGAGCGTGTGGTATGATCTGTTCAAACTGAGATCTACCCAAAATTTTAATGGCAGAAAGCCGCATATCATTCAAATTTTCTGTTCTATTTCAGGCAAAAGCTCTTGCAGAGAAGAATATTCGTGACATTCTCGCACAGAGAGAACAGGAAGAGAGAAATGTAATTACACGTCGTAACAGTTTGCAGAAGTAAAGTTTAGCATTTTATTAGATAGTTCATCTCAATCCCAAATCTTTTGTTGTAACAGAGATTAGCAGAAGCTCTAGATGCTGAAGTTAAACGGTGGTCAAGTGGGAAGGAAGGAAATCTACGTGCATTGCTTTCAACTCTACAATATGTAAGCTAAATTTTTGTGTCTTTTGTACTTCTGTGTGATTTGAATGTTATAATTCAGAACATTAATGTTTATTATGTTGACAGATCCTCGGGCCTGACAGTGGGTGGCAGCCAGTCCCTCTAACAGATATCATCACCTCAGCTGCTGTCAAGAAAGCTTACCGTAGAGCAACTCTTTCCGTTCATCCTGACAAATTGCAACAACGTGGTGCAAGCATTCAACAAAAATACATATGCGAGAAGGTTTTTGATCTTTTGAAGGTATGTGCTAAATTTATTACCTTGATGAATTTGTGCTAGTATTTGGGTAATGTTATTTTCAAATTAGGAATTTGGTAAGAGTTATTGAGCTACATATTAGTATAAGACAAGTTATTAATTGTCACCATCATTATATTAATGGAAAAGCCAAAAGCCCTTTTGTTTTAGGGCAAGATGTGGGAGTGGGTAATTGAACTCGCAATCTCCCGATTAGAGATATATGTCAATTATCGTTGAACTATGCAAAGCCAAAAGCCCTTCATTTCTACCATTGGAAACCATTATTGGTCAATTTTGCTGTGTGTTCCTTTGGTTCTCTCGTTTATTTTATAAAGTAATCAATAACTTATGGTTGTTTGTTTCGAGTAGATTTGATGTGATTTCAATCCTAATAGATTTCAAATTAATATCATTATAAGGAGATCAACAACTTCTCTAGGAATTATGTATCACATTGAATCTGGTTTTGTAATTACGGAAGTTTTTTTCTTTATCAAATGAATTAAGTTGTCCAACATTTGGCTAACTTGGAAATCTGTTGTCAACAGGCTGCTTGGAACAGGTTCAACGTGGAGGAACGATAGTAACGCAACCCAATTACTTCCTAAATTTGCGTATAATTGCATCACCATTGTCATATCTACTAACCATACCATATTGTTTCAACTTTCAGAGGCAGTTATGATGAGAAAAAAAAAAAAAAAAAACCCAATTCTTTCTATCTGCATCTTTGAGAGGAGACCTTTTCGTCAGGAAAAAAAGGCGCGTCAACATCATTTTAGTGGGAAAATAATCTATCTGATGGTGTTGCGGTAATTATTATGCACATTCAGATAACTTACCATATGCGAGCTAAAAATAAAACCGGAAGAATTTAGATCTAGAAAGGGTTAAATTCAGATAAAGTTAATCAGTTTGTTATAAATAGTCCATAAAGTTTAATTAATTTAAAGTTATTTATTTACTTCATCAGGTTCACACAACAACTTTTATTTTTTTCAAAAAAGAATGAAAATTTGAACCTACAACCATCAATTGCCAGCACTAATGTAATTAAATAGTTAAGGTATTAACTTCATGGTATCTACTTTTTTTGAAGTTAAATTGGAGATTCAAATATTCATTTACTAGCAAACAAAATGTTGACATGATATGGAACATTAAACATATACATTAATTTTTAAATTAATGTAGTGTGACAACCTATTAGATGTGTCACTATAATTATTTCAAGCATAATCTAAATTCGAGATGTAACCAAAGTTTATTTTTCCAAAAACTACATATTAAATCGACAGGATTGAACTTATAATTTAATCTAGACGATGCATGTAAAAGGGAGCTCTCGTGACAAATTCTAGGCTGCAAAAGTTAACTGTACTGCAAAAAGTTGGTTCCAGACTGCATGCAAGAAACAGATGACAGAGTACAAAAGAAATACAAAATCATACGCCAACTTTGCCATCATACTACTTTTGAGACATGAACTGGCACATTCCATTATTAAGTGATGTCAAAATCATAAGCCAAGAACATGAAGCATTATAGCATTCTGTGCGTGCATTCGATTCTCAGCTTGTGGAAAGACAATGGAGTTGGGAGCTTCAATTACTCCATCCGTTACCTCTACGCCTCTCTCTGCTGGTAGGCAATGCATGAAATAAGCTTTCGAACCTGCTAAATTCATGAGCTCTTCGTTAACCTGCAACGATAACACAGAGAATGTCATTGCAGCTGCAGAATTTAACCGTCAAGTAATACAGTATGCATCCAAAAGATCAATGTTTCAAAAATCCAAATGGAAGATCAAGTTCTGCTCGGTGCTCTCTGATGTTTGTGTCGGGTGATAATTCTGAGTAGCTAGTCTGTTCTACTGAGTGTCAAAGAGAACACAACGATTTCAATATTATACCATTACTGTACAATTGCAGCATCTCCAACATCGAATCCTATTAATCCATGAATGTAAAGGGTGGAAAAGTTGGAGCAACTTTCCAGGGGTTGTATTGAGAGAGGGTTTGGATTCGGGCATATATTTAGCCCGTGAGTTAGGCATGCCTGAAATTTAAGCTACTCAAGTTAGCCTTTTCTACAGCCATCACTTCTGCATTTTCCTCAATGAAATCCCGTTTCATTCGGTTAGAAAAAGGGATAGTGCATTTTCCAGACACAGTTGTCTTTGTGTAGTTAATTTGTGACCATGTTGCACTAACTACATTATTTCATCGGTACGAATATTACTTTCAACCTAAGTTACAGCTAACAAAAATACAACAGGAGAGGTGAACATGCGAGCTAGTAGTTAGCTGTGGTATTCAGCACAGAAAAAGGGAAGCAAAGAGGCCATTTTTTAATTTTCCGTCCCAAATGATGGCATAAAAGATCAAAATCAAACAACTCAATATGAAGTCGGACCAATTAGCTTGAAGTGTGTTTATTAAAAAGAAATGCTCCAACAACTACCTGAAAGCCTTGAAACGCTTGACGCCGATATTCAGCCTCCTCCTTTTGTCCCATGCTGGCCCAGACATCTGAGTACACAACATCAGCGCCTTTCACTGCTTCCTTGGGATCATTGGTTATCTCAATCTTGCTAATTCCAGCCTGCTGAGCCTTTTCAACTGTATTCTTATCCGGCTCAAAACCTTTAGGACAGGCACAAACAAAGTGCATAGGCACAACTGATGCCAACAACAACCACGAGTGCACCATGTTATTTCCGTCTCCAACATAGACAACCTAAATTTTCATTATCACCCGCTCAATTCTTTGAAAAGCATTATGGAAGTAGATTCTATATCTAATATAACGGTTCACAGTAAAGAGGCACAGCCAAACCTTGACTCCTTCTAACTTGCCAATGTGTTCAATAATAGTGAGTGCATCAGCCATTAGTTGGCAAGGATGGTTGTAATCCGTCAGGCCATTTATTACCGGCACAGTGGCATATTTGGCTAAATCAAGAATGTCCTGCAACAAAATGATAGTATAAAGCCCAGTAGAGAGACATCTGAACTACTAATGGCAGCAACGGAAGAAAAATGAAATAGAAGCAACCATGGCCCACATATATATGGCAGGACTGGAAACACTCTATTAGGTAATGTGAAATCCGACACTTTTCCCTGATCTCCTAGGGGATAGGCAGGGCCATTTGGCTTTTAATTTGCTCTTGTTTTCTCCCAACTAGAAACCCACCAATGAGAAAAGAGGTTTAAATAATAGATTATTTCCCCCTCACACATCTTTCCCATGTTGGAAAGGCCGCATGTGCTTTTTGCTGTATCTAGTATTTGCCACAATCAGCTAACCCACCTCAAATTGGATTAGGGCACCAACTAAATAATTGAAGAATTGATAACTTTGTTATCAAATAAGCTATTATTGTAACAGTAAAATTATTTTGAGACAAACCAAATATGATTAGTACTATGCCTACGTGAATGTATATGCACCACAGCAATCTTATGTCTAAATGTCTGAGTTTTGTGCAAGTATACAAAGGCTACCAGGGCAAGGTTCCGACCTTGTAAAATAGGTGACTTCATACCAATGGATGCATAAACCTCATTATGTGTATAATTCTACATAGCTTAGCTATCTATTGGAAGATAAATGTTAAGGAAACTTCAAGTCCTTTGACTAATAAGGTCGGAACCCAATTGATAAAGCAAAACTAGCTTGAGTACACCTCGTTCCAGGTTCATATCTCTACATGTTGTCACTTGGAACTAAGAAGGTAAAAAACTGGCCACCATACCTGATGAGCAAAGACACGAGCCATGATGACATCATTATAGCGAGACAAAACACGAGCAACATCCCTAGTTTCCTCTCTTTTCCCCATTTGGATATCGTTTGGCCCTAAATATATGGCATGGCCCCCTAGCAAGAAGAAACCAGTCTCAAATGAAACTCTTGTTCTCATGGATGGCTTTGCAAAGATCATAGCCATTGACTTCCCTTTAAATGGGACAAATGACCTATCTCCAGATTTCAGCTGTGCCTTAACTTCAACTGCGCGGTCTAAGATCTTCAAGAGGGTGGATTTATCAAAATCATTAAGGTGAAGAAAATCCTTCTTCCCTGCTTTCACTGTGAAAAAATAATACAACAGAGAACAAACGTCAGACAACCAAAAGCATACATCCGTGTATTCATTGAATTGCATGCCTTTACAATGATTTGTTTCCCATGAGAAAGAGCGGAAGACTAAACACCATAATCTGTTCTCAAGCCATAGACACTGAAACAGCCGATCTTGCATATCGCCAATGCAAGCGTCAGAGATCGGTCGGTTCAGAAGAAGATGGATTATGTATATCACTTAAACAGAGCACCATTCAAACCGATACCAAAAGGCGTATACACCGTCTGATAATAACAGCTTATCAAACTTCACGCACTACATAAGAATAGTGATAGAGCAATATAAATTTCGTCATCACTCACAATCGATAAACCCTAACTTCAGAGTCTATTAAGCAAGAAACACAAAAACCTTAGTCGAAATGAAAATTATAGCAATAATATCATAAACTACGAAGTTAAATCGAAGACAGACATGCACCTTTTGATACGACGGAAGAAGGGGAAGTTGCAGATGTCTGGCAAGAGATTGCAGGAAAACGAGCAGGAAACCTAGCCGGAGAAGCCACAGAAAAGCCTGAAAGCTCGCCCAAAAACTTCACCGATCGCCGAAGACTGTCGCCGGAGTAGAACTGAGTAGTCAGGGAGTTTTTCTCCGATCGTACAGTGGAGTAAGAACAAATCGCTGCCATTGCTTTCGGTGGGAATGGCAGATTAACTGAAGTTCCGCTTAGCAATGGATTCCACTTGTGCGAGCAGTTGAACTAATCGAATCCGGCAATGTGGATTCTCCTCGATTGATTTGATTCACTCTCTTTCTCTCAGTTCTTCAAGGCATTCAACCGATTTTCTACAGAAATTACAGAATATACGTTTTCAATAATGCATTTGCCAACTCAACCCTTCTAGAATTCATTCAGTATAGCTTATCACTTGTGGCTTTTCGGCTTCGGAAGCAACAAAGTGAGCGGATGTTTACATCAGAAAATAAAATGATATTAAAAGAATAAAAAATAAAATACAAAAAACAAAAACAAAGTGGGCGGATGCATACGTTTTACATTTGTACTATTCTCATTGGCCGGCACGCTTAACGCTTTTGTCCATCTTTTTTTATACAATACATTTATTTTTTGTGCTTCATTTATCTGGTAAACCCTAATGTTATAGCTTTTCTTTATTTATGAATAGCATATTATTTATTTATTTATCCGTGTAACTTAGGATATGGATTCGAATCATCTGCTATGAATAAAGTTTTTTTTTTCTTTTTTAGTACAACATATCGAGGTGAGGAATCGAACTCACAACCTCTTGGTTTCAGGTACATGCCAATTACCGCTGAGTTATGCTCGTTTTGGTGCTATGAATAAAGTTATTATAGTTGAATTATGCTAAACAATTTGTTTATTTTATTTTGAATCTTTATTTTTGTTTGAATAATTTAATAGTTGTTTTTTCTTTTTCAAATACAACAACATGTAAGAATGAGTTTAAACACACGAACTTTTGACGGGTGGTAAAATTTTTTTTTTTTATGGCAGATGTCACTTTTCTTACCGGAACGGCCAAACACTCGGCCAAGTGGAAATTACCCCACATTAATATTTAAAGTTATATAATTTAACCTAAATTTTATTTTTACCACGACTTTTCGCAATTGAATTTGTACAAGCTGCATCGTTTACATTGTGGGCTTTGGGCTAAGAATGCACGAATGATTGGGCCTCCCTTTCTGTCTACTTTAGCTCCGAGGCCCATTGTCTTATTTAGGGTTTCTAAATTAACAGTAGTTGCAGTCATGTTAAAGGGTATGGTTCTGAACCAGTAGAGGGTTAAAACTGATGCTTGTGGACCTTTTTTAAGTAAAACAAATTTGAGGTGCCAATATTTGAATGAAATGAATAGTGCTAAAAAAATGATATTTTTATCATTGAAGTATACCCTTATTTTAAGTTCATTTATTTAATAATCTTATCAGTTTAACCTTAATTTTGCAACTTCGTTTAACATCTGACAAGCACCCTTACATCTAATAAATATCATAAAGAAAGAATAATGATAAAAACCCAACATGATACAAGTAATATAACTAAAATTGAGTTACAATTGAAGTTATAGAGATTAATTGTAGCATTTATAGTTAATGTAATGTCTTGTGACAAAGTAAACCTATTTCTTAAGTTATATAGACATGCGGCTCTTCATTTTATGAAGGCGGGTTTGGAAATTGTTAAGGGGGAGAAACAACAATGCAAGGATTTGAATATAGGACCTTCTACTCTGATTCCATGTTAAAGATGAATAAACTATCGCTCAATTCAAAAACTTAAGTCGATGGATTGAATAAATTTAATTCATTTATAGATATATAATAAAAATAGACGAAATTTGGAAATAGAATAGGATTTTGAAAGAGTATTTCGCTCCATGGAGATATATATTTGGATAAAATCTATATTATAATTACACAATTATTAATATTTATTGAAATTATTAACTAAATAGATCCTCAGAATTTGTGGCCAAATGACCATATTTGCATTTAGTGGCTCTTCTACAAATTTTGGGTCGTTGGGGCACAACGTCCCCTACAAAGACAATCCCTTCCATCTAACAATCTGAGATTCAACGTCTCAGAAAACAGTGTTTCTTCTGAACCGTCGCTGTGGACAGTGGCCACCGCAACGACATGTCGGCGGAGAAAGACGTGGATAAGCAGGTAACGCGACACCTTATCGGTCTACATGCTCTGCCCTGAATTCAGAATTCTCCCACTTCACAGTCACGTGCACTGTTTCCATTCTCCATTCTCGTCCCAACAATGCAAGGACACACGTACCCCGCTCACGTGCCGCCTCTGCAACGATGTCGTATCCATAAAATTTTTATTTTTATTTGTTTTATATCTGACATCTCAACCGCTATGTGATGACACGTGTTGCTTCTGGGTCCTGCCATCCGACCCGACCCGACGCTGCTTGAAATCACGCGGCGCCGCGATCTCCGCCCGAATCCTGAATGTAAGTGTCTCGCTTTCGGCGGTGCAGTTCCAAAAGACTGTGAACACTTTGAAAGAGATTCAACTATTTTTAATTGCATTTTTCTGATTTAAATAATGTTAATAATATCGTGATATATATTTTATAAGTTTTACAAGAATTCCATAAAAAACAAGAGAGGGAGGGAAATTAATTTTGTCTATTTCGTAAAATACGATTTTAGTAGAAAATCCACTTTATTTTTTATTTTTTATTTTTTGAGTTTAGTAGAAAATCAACAGTTTGTAAGCTTTTAATTGGTTGCCGCATTTATCATTCGCTTTTCGTACCATACAACGATCCCTCTCAGCCACAAATGTCAAAGTCGCCACGTGTGAGGCTGTGTTTTTTTCTCGAAAAAAGAAATTATTTTGAATAATTAATTTTCCTTACAATATTAGATTATGAAAATAACATAAAATATTAACACGCTACACGCTAATAATTTCCCCACATTTTAAAGGTAATCTTTAGTTTTACAATAATGAAACAATATTCTACAATCCGTAAAACAAAACACTAAAAGTGCGTTTGAAATAAATTTTTAGAATAATATTTTCAATACTGTGAAAAAATATTCAAACTCATGAACTATAAAGAGAGATAGACATTTTTTAAAATATTTTATATTCCTTAAAAAATGAAACTAAATGCTCTCTAAATGTCTGATTGCATCTCCAAAACTATTAAAACCAATAAAAAAATATATATTTTAAAAATACACTGATTTACTAATTTAAAAAAATAGTCGTTTTTGACGCCAAATTCAATTAAATTCCTAAAATTAATAGATGGCACCCACACCCCATAAAGGAACCCAACACGATCTCCCACCTATGGCAACAACTTAACCATGAAAATATTAAAAAGACAAAATTATAATAATAAATAAATAACGACAGTTAAAAGTAGAAACAAAACGGAGGGCCCGCTCTCCACTTTCCAGGCCGGCCTAGAAGCTTTTATATAATTGGAAGCCCATTCCGCTCGCTAATCCGCAGCAGTTATTTGGCGTTCATGCTTCCCCACACTGTGTAACAAACTTCGTTTAGAGAGAGAGCGAAAGATGAAGCTAATTTCGAGATTTCTTGTGGTTCTTCTTCTAATTGTGCTTCGATCGGAAGCAGAAGCAGAAGATGGATTTGTGAGAACCAGAGGGCAGCAGCTGATTTTGAATGGTAGTCCATTTTATGCAAATGGATTCAATGCCTACTGGTTAATGTACTTCGCCTCGGACCCATCTCAGAGAACCAAGGTCTCCTCTGCCTTTCAAGAAGCCCTAAATCATGGCCTCTCCATCGGAAGAACTTGGGCCTTCAGCGATGGCGGATATAACCCTCTACAGTACTCCCCCGGCCAATACAATGAGCAGATGTTCCAGGTCAAAATAACGTTAAACGAAATCCTCTGATTCCTTCGATTATTTCACTTTTTTTTTTCCGATTACTGAATCGAAAATGCTCTGTTTAGGGGTTGGATTATGTGATATCTGAGGCTGGAAAACATGGGATTAAACTGATCTTGAGTTTGGTGAACAATTATGAAAATATGGGAGGGAAGAAACAGTACGTGGAGTGGGCGAGGAGCCAGGGGCAGGCGATTTCGTCTGAGGATGATTTCTTCACTAATTCTGTGGTGAAAGGGTTCTACAAGAACCATATTAAGGTAACAATATCAGAACCCGGAATCATAATTGGCTTCTACATTGTGTTTCTTCTCTTGTCTCTGAAATTGGTTGATTGGGTTTTTGAAAATGGTTTAACGCTTGTTGAGGGGTAGGTGAAAAAGTGAAACGGGTGGTTGGGAATTGGAACAGGTCAATTACAGAGGGGGAGAAATTATGAGAAGTTATGTTTTGCCTTCTTTGCATCATCTTTTGAAGATTATTTTTCAAATGATTTCCATTTCACGTTCTGACTCTTACCTTTTTCTGCTTTCTCTTTCCTTTCAAATAATCTTTTTGATTCATTTTCCGAATCTTAGAGACAATTAGAGTGTTCTATTAGTTAAATATTGTGTCATTTCTTGCTTGGTTTATAGAAAAAAAGTTTTGAGGGAGTGTTGATTTTATAATTATTTCTTAAGAAATCGACTTAGGATTTTTTTTTTCACTAAAATTTTTAACATCAACATTATTATTAAAAAATTTCTTCTTTTGAGAAATAAGGTCAACGTTACTTTATTTACACTGTTGACCCAAATTGCGCATTATGCGGTGGTAGTCACTAGTCAGTCACTTCATTAAGTAACCTTATTTGGAAATTTCCCAACTTGGCAAATCAAATTAGAGAAACAACGGTAGGAAATTCAATGATAAAATTCCATTCATTTATAGCTCCAATTCTAATAACTAAAACAAAATTCGAGGATTAAATACTATTTTGATTTATTTTAATTTTTTATGATTGTGTGTTGATTTTAATTTATTTACTTTTAATTTTGATTTATTTTAATTATTTAATTTCAAAAATCAATCGTGTAACTAAGTTGTAAATGATAATTGACATCTACTCTTTGTTTTAAGATTTGAGGTTCAAACTTTAATATCTCTAATTTGTTGTACTAAAAAAAATAATTTAAAATGTCTATTTTGAAAATATGAAAACCAAAATGAACCAAAGTCAGAGTATATGTACCCGAATAGTATTTAAACCTTACAATTTTTCTAAAATTTGTATAAGGACATTTTCACTTTGATAAGTTTACTTTAATCTAAGATTTGAATATATAATAATATTGTTAGAATAATGTATTTTGTGTGACAGAGTGTTCTAATGAGAACCAATAGCCTCACTGGAATAGCTTATAAGGATGATCCAACAATAATGGCTTGGGAACTTATGAATGAGGCCAGGTGCCCTTCAGATCCTTCAGGGAACACCATTCAGGTTCTCTCTACACTTACTCTTACTTTTTTTCATTACTTTTCAATCTTGATTTTTCAACCTACGAAACCAACTTTAATCTTGATTTTCGACCAAATTTTTTGTCTCCTAACAATTTGGTCATGTCAATTGAAGTCGACATATAAAATATATGAAATGATGGACAGGCATGGATTAGAGAAATGGCATCATACTTGAAATCAATAGATGGAAAACATCTATTAGAAGCTGGTTTGGAAGGTTTCTATGGACAATCAAGGAATCAAGGAAATCCAAACTTTCAAGTGGGAACCAATTTCATTGCAAACAATCAGATACCCGAACTTGACTTTGCCACAGTCCACTCATATCCTGACCAATGGTAAAAAGAAAAAAAAACTTCCCCCATTTTATTTTACTTGAGAACTTCAATCCATTAGCTGATGATGATGGCTGAACTGAACTGGGTGATCTCTACTGATGTTGTAGGTTATCTGGTTCAAGTTATGAGAATCAGCTCACATTCCTAAACACTTGGCTCAATGATCACATCCAAGATGCACAGAACATCCTGCACAAGCCAGTTCTCTTTGCTGAGTTTGGAAAATCTACAAAGTACTCTGGCTCTGATCAAAGGGATCAACTTTTCAATGCTGTTTACTCAGCTGTGTATTCCTCTGCCCGGACTGGCGGAGCAGCCGTTGGTGGATTGTTCTGGCAACTTCTAGTCGAAGGAATGGACTCGTTTCGAGACGGATATGAAGTGGTACTTAACGAGAACCTCTCGACTGCTAATTTGATTTCTCAGGAGTCTCAAAAGCTTATTCACATCCGGAAGATGTATGCCAAACTCAGAAACATTGAGAAGTTGAAGAGAGCAAAGGAGATAAGAAGAGCTCAGTGGCAGGCCTTAAATGGAGGCAACAACAGTCCTGGAAATTAAGCCAAAATAGAACTGAAGATAGAAACGCTAAGCAAATATTGATACCTTAATATAACTACTTATGAGGTTATTGAGAGAGTATTTCCCTCATGGAGCTGAGATTTGCTCATCCAAAAGCTGATGTTAAATGGGTTTGAATATTGTTCTCGTATCTCGTGATGTGGATTGAAATCAAAAGTTGTTATTTTACTCAGGAAACATGTTGGCTTCTTATTTTTTACATATATGAAAAGAAACTAGTTCTTTTTACATTAAGGGAAGTCGTGCACTAAATAATAAATACTACTCATTGCCGAGCATTGTTAGTTGAAAGCCTCGAGCAATTGCTTCTTTTCAACCCTCGCCTATCTCGACTTGAATAAGAGGCTGCCTTCGGATTTTAAATAATGGTTCCATCTTTTATTGTTGCATTCTTCAATGTGACTGTGATACCGGACCTTATGTAAAACCCTTCTTCTGGCCTATCAGCTTCTTGAACACCCTGAAAAGTTACAAGTACACTTCATTGAGCATAGGTACTATGATCAAATAACATTGTGCATAAGGATAAAGTTTGCAAATTCTTAGAGTGTTGAGTTTTCGGGTTAAGTTTGTGTAACTTGAGCTTAAAATGTTGAAATTATGTTTCGTATATGGTTTTGGTTATCCCAAGCCATTGGTCCTATGAACTACCTGAACTCATGAACCTTCACAACAGATGAAATTCACCCAGGTTATAAACCCATGACCAAAACCAGTGCACAAACCTAAGTTTCTATTACCTATTTCTTTGTGCAATTCAAACATAGATAAACTTGTAAATATCGTGAACCAAACATCTTTTAGAATAGAGATACAAAAATTATACTTACATCAGCATTTGCAATAACCACATTTCTTCCGATCTTGGCATTCTTGTCTATTATGCAATTCCTGCACAAAATTTGTCATAAAAAAATCAGAAAAACCGAGCCCATGAACAGATGATTTTTGTGGTAATCAGTCAGATACAAAGTGAAGGTTCTATTTAACTAATAGAAGATTGCAGATAGTTTTTCTCTGTATCGTTGTAGCTAAACGTCACCTCACCTGATTTTGGTGTTCTCTCCAATGCCAATTGGGATCTTTCCTTCCGCAAGCAGAGATGCAATTTCAGATTCTGTCTGGTAGTAGTCCGCACCCATCATCATAGTATCCTAGAATCCAAAACCAACAAATCCAAATATGATCAACATCGTTCAAGATATGACTCGCGCATGAATGGATTAACGAGATTCCCACTGTCCCTGTCTAGATGGTTGCTGTGTTACTAGCTTCTGCAACTGCATTTAGCGGTACAAGGAGGGAGGCAAAAGTCCAAACAGGAAAATCTTGCTCACCTTCAGCTCCACGCCAGACTCCAATCGGGAGCGCACACCAACGATAGAGTGTTCAACACTACATTCTTGGAGGAAGCAACCATGAGAAATTATTGCATCTACAATCTGCAAATGCACTTTCTTTTTTAAGATACAAGTATCAAACAGATGATGCAGAAAGAAAACTCGAGTTCCATGTCTTACCCTGCATTTCTCAACTTTGGTAGGTGGTAAGAATCTAGGTGATGTATAAAATGGAGTCTTTGGATCATAGAACTCAAACTTTGGAGGCTGCACGAAAGACAATACCATACCAACCATCAGCTTTTATAATTGTTCTCTTGAGATCCACACAAACGGATTTTTAAAAGAAAGAAATAACTTCTAATGTCACCATTGGTTGCATGATGGGACACCAACCTGTTCTGTTAGCGCTAAGTTGGCATCAAAAAATGACTTCACGGTTCCAATGTCCTCCCAGTAGTCATTGAATAGATAGGCCTAAAACAATATGGATCCTTTAATAAACTTGGTTCTATTATTGTGAAAACTTTCATTTTCCGAAGGATGAACCATAAAGAAAAATGAAAGATGAAAATTATAAAAAACTCTCTCACTTGAACTTTGTGATCTTTAACAGCTGATGGAATAATTTCTGAGCCAAAGTCATTGCATGAAGGGTAACTCCGTGTCAAAAGCTTCAGTAGAATATCAGTTCTAAACACATAGACTCCCATTGATGCAATATAAGGATTATTTCTAGCCTCTTGCTCTGAAAGTCCTAGAACAGTGGTATCAACTCGCTGCATGCAATATACGACGGATAGAAAACAACATCAGACAAGAGATGGCACAGTACAAGGGATAGGGAGTGAATAACTATATTACCCGAATAGCATGCCAAGATAAGAAAAACAAAACAAGTTGAAGAAAATAAATAATTGCATCAATGTTATCAACCATTGCTTCCAGGTCAGAGCCTTTTGGTTTCTCTGCAAAATGTACAATACGTCCTGTGTCGTCTATTTTCATGAGACCGTAATCTGATGCTCGGCTGCAAAATAACAAGGCATTAATGAAAACCCAAGTTTTTAAGAAAAATAATAATAAGATTATGGCTGCCATGTACTTTATGTATAGAAAATAATGAAGAAAAAATGTACACCTATCATCCATGGGTACGCATGATACTGTAATATCAGCGTTTGTGTCAATATGTCTCTGCAGGTATAAAATAGTCAGAAAGCCCCAATGAACCACCAACAAATGAGCAAAATGATACAAATAAAATTGTAGCCTAGTTATGATTTTAACGTTATACCTGCACAAAGTCCATGTAGTCCATCCGATAAAGATGATCACCAGACAAAATTAGAATGTGCTCAACATTTTTGGTCCTGGCATCCTGCAGAAAATCAATGGTCAAAAAGTTCTTTGCCCATTAGAGAACTGACAGATAATTTTCATCATGCTTTGGAAATTTTAAGCACCCACCTCAAATAACCATATAAATTGCCTGACAGCATCGGCAGTTCCCTGGAACCACTTTTTCCCAGTTTCACCCGAAGTCTGAGTGGCAGCTAAAACCTGTTTCTCAAACATAAATCCGCAGATGGAGTATAAGAAAGCTTCCCGGTTCCTAGAACTTGGAGTCTGCCTAGTTAACACAATTGCTAAGCAGGGGTAGATTGTAACAATTGGAAGCACAGGCATCATACCTCCACGAATCCATCGCCAAAATTCACTCCATTACCAAAATTATAAATACGAGCAAGGTGACGATTGAGAGAAAAAGAGTTGAACTGTGTTAGGATGAATATCTTTTCGATGCCACCATTGATGCAATTACTCATGGGTACGTCGATCAGTCTATAACAACCTCCAATTGGAACCTGCAAGTAAAGATTATTCACTTCTATTCATGCTCTAATTCCTTTTCCTTCTCCTGGGTTGGATCAAAAGCTTATGTTATCAAGTACAATAACCACCTAAATATATACCCCCCCAATTAAAAATGCTTTTTAAGATAGTGAAGGTGTTTACCGCTGGTTTGGCTCGCTGGCTTGTAAGAGGAAACAAGCGACTTCCAGCACCTCCACCCAATATGATTGAAGCCACCTTCTTCGGATCAGCTCTTGGAGTCTCAAATAGGGGAGCCTGTAAAGTCTGAGAAAATTTTGGGAGTCAAAATTACTGTCGAAATTCATATGATTTTGAATGTCAACGTACTAAATCGACTTACCATTGTTTCCTCACTAATTTCTGACGTGAGTACAGAATAGACAACTCCTGATTTAAGCTTTCTATCCCTGCTCTGAGAACAGGAGTTCTTCCACAAGTGCGCATTCGTCTGTATCAGTTTGCATCTTCCGCTTCTCCCAATACTCTCTCCCCAGAATCCGGAACATTGGTTCCTAGCACACTGACTGCTGATTCTAAATGGAACCGCATTGGCCTTCAAGGTCACACCAAACGAATCCATAGTCTAATCAACTGGGGATCAAGAAAAAGTTTGTTCTACGAGTATCTAGTTCGAATATGCGAAGTCAATCACTCTGCAGAAAAAGTTGAGTAATATGTCCGATCCTTCTCAACTCGATCAACACATAAAAGCCCGAGACCCAAAAAGAAAAAGCCTAGATCAAGGCGAAACACAAAAGAAGCGGATCAAAAGAAGCTTTAAAAAGGGAGCGCGGCGAAACAGGATCAAACTCGCCCCTGTTTCTGTAGAGAGATAGCGATGGAAGAAGTGTAGTGTAGTGAGAAAAATGTAGAGGAATGAATGAATAGGTCTGAATGAACAGATTGAAGAAGAAATGAGATCAAAAGTCGTAAGATGAAGATGGTGGCAATGAAAATGAAATCGTTAAATTTCTTGATGAGCCGCCAGAGGGATGCTGTTGCTCTCGCGATCTTGGTTTTCCAATATTAGAGAGTGGAGAGTGCAAATGGAGCGATTCTCTTCTCCCAGGCCACAGTCCACAGTGACCTCGACACGGCGCCAATACAAATGGGACCTACTCCGCTCCTTCCTTCTTCTTGGCCTCTTCTATTGTTTTTGTTTGTTACAAAATAATAATAATTATCTAAAAAAAATAGTTGAAGATATTTAAATGTATGTAGCCCTATATTTATAGGTTGGTTTTAGGGTTGGGTCAGTATCTGATCAGCGGATCATACAATTAATTGAAAATTTATGGATTGTAACCAGACAGATTTATTTTGCCCCTAAATAGTAATACATATAATTTACCATGAAATTTTGTTACCTGTTTAAAAAATTAATTTAATTAACCCCACCAAATTTGTATTAGACAGATTTTAGTGGTAACTAGAATTAAGGAGAGAAATATAATAATTTGAGTGTTTAATTAAATTTATGATTTTGGGAATTTTATTGAAAATTAAGGGTTGTTCGTTCTCACTCTGGATTATATTTTTTGTTTTTAATGCATTTAGTGAATATGGTATGACAATCTTCGACATATTTGTTTTCTAAAACTATTTTTCAGATTTTTTCAGATTTTGTGATTTTTTTTATACGACACATTTTGTGATTCAAATAATAAAAAAATATTTGATAAATATGTTATTTCATTTTATAACTTATTTTCTTTTTATTAAAATAATAAAATAAAAAAATATATTATAATTATTATTACTTTTTAAAAAATGTAATATAGTATAAATTATAAAATATTGTAAAATAATAATTATGTAATATTTATGATAAAAATGTTAATAAATAAATTAATTAAACTAAATAGTTAGTTGATAACTTCCACTTATTTACAAATATATTCTTAAATAAAAATTGAACAAATTTTTAATTTGAATTCCAATATTTAAATCTATGGTTAAACACGTTTTTAAAAATATTGAAAACAAGTCAAAACGAGCATGGTCGAACGATAATTGATATGTACCTTCAACAAGAAGTTGTGAATTCGAATTTCCCATTGTTATACTAAAAAAACAGTATTGAAAAGAAATAATATATACATATATATATATATATATATTTCCTCCCAATCACCGCCTAAAACACTTATTCAGCTAACTATATAATAAAAAATTAAATTTTCAATTACACGTCTGACCCGGTAGACTGAGCTGTGGCGTGTACGGCCCAGAGTCGCGTCGTTTATTATATTTATTTATTTTTTAAATGTGGAATAACAAAGGAATCATATAAATTGGTGACCACATATTTGAAATGAAACGGACGGTTGATATTAATTTCAAATCACCAGTCATTGGAGGTCACGTGACCATCAAATCAGAATCTGTGACTGAATCTCCTCAACAGCCACCGCGCAACTCATGACTGTCCCATGATTAATACCTAAAACTTAAAAGTAGTTGTTGAGCTCTTTCTTTCACCACTGTTTAGACAAAAATCTAACCTAAGCCTTTTCTTATTTATTAGTCTTAAATTTAATAAGTGCATCCTTTAACAAGCATTTTTTGAAGCTGCAGCTAATAAATTGGGTAAAAATTTTCCAAACATAATTGGACTTTTGTTATATGGAATGAACGAACTAAAATAAGCATTTATATGCAATATTTTGAATATGGAATGGAACATTCACGTTTTTTAGGGACATTTAAGAAAGTTTTAAGTTTTGTTTTAATATTTTAATATATTATATAACTTCACGAAGTTTAGACTTGTTTCCTAAATCTCTTTTATCTTTTACTAGTTTCAATGATCAAGATTCATTTAATAAGTAAAACGTATGACAACGAGTTACTAAAATTAAGATATGTTGATGTTGAAATCTGTCCTACGTCGTGGAGCGATGTGTTCGGGATCCAAACAAAGTGGAACGAGAGACCTGAAAAACATGTGGAGCATTTCGACGCTCAAATTAGTTATGATTAAGAGTTTGATAGATCAGTTTTAGATAGATTTTCATACTTTATTAGGAGGAGTGATGATATATATTTATAGGGGTTGAGTGGTAAAATTGTTCCCAAATTATTGAACCACTATTTATTGTTTGATAAGACTGTCGAATATTACAACTTAGACTGTCGAATATTACAACTTGGGAGCTTGAACTTGGAGGTGGAGGAGCTTAGTAGTTTGGCCGCAAATGAATTTAAGAGCTCGACCGTAGTTGAGCTTAGGAGCTCGACCGTAGATGAGGTTAAGAACTCGGCCGTAGATGATCTCGCCACGTGGTAGGTTATATTTTTACCGAACATTTTATCATTTTGTTTTTTAATTGTCGAGTAACAACTAATAAAATACAACGCTAATATCTTGTTGGTAAAGTTTACAAGTTTTTAGTTAAAATAATATACTTTTATTTTACCAACAAAAAATGCATTTTTATTAATCTGTAAAAAAAATCAAATAAATGAGATGCAAAATGGGCACATGACAAAAGGTTGACCATATTCTTTTTCTTTTTTCGCAGAAACAAACGGTTGACCATATGTATCATAATAATATCATATTTCAATAAATGATTAAATTTATTAAAAAATTATTGAAATAAAGTTAATTACGAATATTTAAACATCATTGAAAACCACAAGACACTTTATATATATATATATACATATATATATTTTTTCCTAATTAACAAATAGATATTATTAATACTGTATATTAAAATAATATAAACTTAGTACTTGTTCAAACAAAAAAAAAGAATATAAACTTAGTAGGTATACACGCATGCACGAGTGTAGCCGTCTTAGTTGGCGACACGTGTAATAAAATCCTCCCAGCCATGATTCGAATTTTGTTGCATTTCTGGCCTTACACGTGGCATTCTACTCCGTTGATAGTTGAATATTTAATGAGGAGACTTACAAATTGGGCCGGCATCGTTGTCGGTTTAATGTATGAAAGTCATGTTTAAATAGTTTCCACATCCGACAAGTTGCGTCGATAAAGACTGACATAAATGATTATTTTTTTTAATTCAACAAAAATATTAGCGATATATAGGAAATTATCTAAATGGGTTAAATTAATAATAATATTTCACATATGTTTACTTTTTAAAAAATTTACAAATCTAGATTAATTACAATTTTCAGTCACCAAATTACCTTCAATTAATAGTAATACCATCTTTTACGTTTATTATAATTTTTAATTATTTTCTTTCCAGACATGATTGATTGTCCTTTGAAGTTAACTAAATGTTTATATTAAATACCGAATCTTGTCATTTAATAGACTTTATTTTATATTTTAATTACCTAAATTAATTATTGTTCCAAATTTCTCAAATAAGATTCATAGTCTTTTTCACATAGGGCAAACTTTATCTTTCTGACGAAATCTCCATTCTCATATAAGTACAATAGTTCGTTACGAACTACAACGACATGTTCATTCAAACTTTATCTTTTTAGTATCGTTTCACAATCCGTTGATTTTTCTAACGTCTTATTTCACTTTTCTAATATCTTATATTTCATTTTTCTGGTGACCATTAGTTTTTCAACGGCAATTATATAATACGTACCTTTTAATCTAATCTACAATACAGTAAACATTTACACGTCCAATATATTTTATAATACAGCCCTTTTATTAGTATATAGACTAAACCATTAAATTATAAAATATATATTTTATTACAAAGTATATATAGTCTTCGTATTATTCATAACACCGTAAAATATTTACAAAACAAACCATTAAAGTAGGATTTAACGTTACAAAGTTTATGCAACAATACTCTAAATATACTTCATATAAAACAGTTCATTGAAGCATTATTTGTAATGACGGGCAGTGCGCACTCGGTGGAGGAGGAGAAGGGAAAGGTAGGACAGGAGCTTCATTTGGGAGGATGTTTCAACTGAATATGAACCGTTTCATGAAAATATTAGGGAATATGGACGGTTTCTTATCTGAGCTTGATTTGTGGAATAATAGCACCAGATTTGTTGCATGTTATTTATTTTTTTAATTGATTTGATCTGTCTATTAAAAATATATCTATATATGGGCAACTATGTAATTTACAGTTTGGCTTAATTTAGAATGAGCCTAGCAATGGATACAAAGGTCAATTGTATAATTTTTAAACATTTATGTAATTAGGTGTCTAAAGAATTGTCTAACTGTATTGTTATCCTTGAAATAATTGATTCAACCTTATAGTCTTATAGTTTTAGAGGATACAAAATGGGAAAAAATGGTTTTATTGTTAGTCTTACAAAAATATTGTTTTTATTTATTTAAACATTTATATCGGCTATTGTATTTTTACTATTTAGTAATTTAACTGGGCAAGAAACAAAAAAAAACTTTCACAAAACATATTATTTTACTAAATAAATTACAAATGGATTGTTATTGTATTATTAAAATTAATTATTTGTCAGCTAAATAGCAGTGTTGGGGTGGATAAGAATCTAAAACTCAAAATAAAATATAAAATTAGAATGTCAGGATCACGAATTAAAAATATCACCTAATTTGAAGGGGATAAACTCTCTTATCTTATATATAATGCAAACCTGTCCCTCAAAAAAATTCTGTTATTTCAAGTTGCATGCCAACATAATATGTTAATAAAAACAATTATTTAATGATACATTGTCTTTTTGTTAGTAAATTTTAACTGTTTTTTTTTTTAAGAAATTACTTAATTGAAAAACAATGGGTATGTTGAATTAAGAATCGGCAAAACATGACGATCAGGTATATTTAGCCAATAAATCTGTAGTTTACTACCAATTTTATTCATTCATATCAAATTATCCGTGGGCCGGAGAGCAGGCCTACATCAGGCAGGCCCATGTAAGCCCAAGCCTTGATGGCTCAAGGTCCACTACTATCAGGCCCAAAAGGGGAAAATGAGCGAGTGGCCATGCGACAAGGCCTTGAAGAACTCATCTCCCAATTCTGCTCTTCCTCCCACTTATCCTCTCTTCATCGCACCCAAACGCAGCAATGCTGAACCTAACAAATTCCTTCCTCCAACGGCGAATTCCCCCAGCCGTCGCGCCGGCGAAGAAGGTAATTTCCTTCTTCTCACTCATCTATCTACTTAGACACACGATTATTTGCTTATTTTTCCCCCGATTTTGCGTTTGATGCCGTCATTTCCAGGAATTCGGAGCGAGAAGTCACCGGCCGGTGGTCACCTGCCGGAAGAAGGATCTCCACCCCCAATTCTACGAGGACGCTAAAGTTTATTGCAACGGGGAGCTGGTGATGACGACGGGTGGGACCCAGAAAGAGTATTCGGTGGATGTGTGGTCGGGAAATCACCCATTCTATTTGGGCAGCCGCTCCGCCCTGCTCATCGACGCCGACCAGGTCGAGAAGTTCCGCAAGAAATTCGGAGAGTTGTCGCAGTTGATGGAGATACCGGTGCTCAAAGGCGAAATCATTCTGCCCACTAAGCGCAAATCCGGCGGCAAAGGGAAGAAGAAGTAGAAGAATGAATTTAGTTGCCGGATTCTTCTGTTGTGCCTGGTAATCAGTTAAATCCAAATGCATATTAAGATTCTTGGTTCTTCTCTTGTATTGCATACTTGTGTAATTTAGTGCATTCGAAACCAATTTGTCTGAATCGAACAATTCGTTTATATTTTTGAATGCTCAAGGTTGATAAAAAGTTTCGTGGGGTCTGCTCGTCGAATTCAATTCCTCTTTTGCTACAGGACAGTTCAGATGTTGGAGAGATGTTTGGTGGGTGAGAAATTTCATATATGAAAAGAAAGTTAGAATAGAAATTAAGATGGGGATTGATGATATCTGGCGAAGCAAGTTACAAATTCTTAAGTTTTGGGTCAGTTACAAAAATGTATTTCTGCAAGTGTATTGCTTGTTTTTGAACTTTGCTTCGATGGATGTTAGCTCACGAGATGGTGGAATAGGAACTGACAGAAATTTTGTCCCCCTTCCAAAGTTGAGTGATCATAAGCAGAGTGATAACAAGAAACTTTCTTCCAGAGGAACTGCCATTTGAAGAAGATGATGGGCAGAGTATAAAATTGTGGACATGTAATTTAATCAGGTGGGCATGGGCATTATCAGTTGGAGAATGACAAGGCCTGATGTAATCTAGTGGAGTTTTAAAGTTAAGCTAGGAAGTATTTTTAATAATTTAAAAAGTATTTTTTAGGGTAAACTATATTTTGGTTTCCGAATTTAAGATTCAGAACTATAGAAAGTGGTTTTAAAATGTCTTTTATAGTCTAATATGTTACTTATAGAACGCTTACGGGCGAGTTGTTTAAGGGGTCAAGTGACATTTGTTGATGTGTTTATGAACTTAAAACGAAGAAGGAGAAAGTTTCCAATTCCAATTTGAGACACTGAAAGAAGTCTTCAAGATTAAACCCAAATTCCTCAATCCTCAGCAGATATGCATAAGTGGAGAGAAAAATTAGGCTGCAGATATGCTTGCAGATCGAGCAAATTACCTTGAAGTCGTTGAAATTTGGGTGCACCCTTTCTCCTAGCGCTGGCTAACTCTGAAATGTACTTTCCATGTATTTTCTATTAAAATAAATATATATCAATGAAATATCATTAATATGAGCATAATATTAGTAATAATAATTTTTCTTATTTAAAAGGTGAAATGTTATTTGTTAAATCAAATTATTAATTTGTATTATTTTTCTAAAAATATCCATCTACGGCAACATTTTATCGATGCTTCCTTAAAATTGAGGTTTCGACATTTCGTTGATGTCGACGTTTAAAAATTTGTGCATTAGAAATTGTCATTTGGTACAGTAAAACTTTTACTTGAGATCTTTTGATAACTAGAAATATTTTTAAGAGTACATTCTTTAAATTTGCATTGAATGTAATTTCTAAAAGAAATATTTTATACCTATAAAATTTCAGTAAGATATTGATTAAAATTGATTGGGCTTTGCTCCTTCCCAAGCTGGGAGGATCCCAGTTTGGTTCCACTTATAGCGCACAACTTTAAGGCCCGCTTAATTGATTTTAATTTTTTTTAAAATTAAAATCTTTTTATACTTACTCGACAAAGAGTTGTCTCACTGGCGTATTTGTCTGGGAAAAAGACATTATTTTCTTAACATTATATTTGCAAGTTTCATCATTATTTAGATTAGATCAAAAGTCTTCTTATTTTATTGTATTATTTGATGATATAAGTGAATAAATCTAGATTTTTATGTTCTTCATTCCAGTTGTCATTGACATTTTTTTTTAAGATTCTAGAATGTGTTTTAATTCTTACATGTAACATTCATTAAAAAAAAAAAACGTTGTGAAAATATGAATGGTTATCCTTGCGACGAGAGGTCAAGCTTTCTGGGATATCGCTACGTGGCAAGTGGGCCCTACTTTGTATTGCAATGACACACGTGTCCATAAATTTGTGGCCTTATTGGCACGTGATGCACGTTCCACAAGCATTGACTTTGACTGGACTTGTACTGGATAATCTTCTCTCTTATTCGACACGGTTTGTGTCTAACAAAAATAAAAACAAAAAAGTTGACCACTAGATTTACCGAAGGAAGAAATTCCAATAAATCGGAGGAAAAATCCAGGCCTTAACTTTTAGAAACCTTTTTTGAAGGAACATATTTGACTTATTTATCATTAATTTGTTTGCACTTAAAAGTCAACTTTTCAAACATTATTTATGGGACGTAATTAAGATTTATAACCTAACATTTTACACCGACTGTGTCCACATTTTTCAACTATCCCGGAGTTTGTTTTCACTCATACGCATGTTTTTCAACAAGTCATTCTACCTTTTATGTTGACAATTGACATGTGGGTTAAATATATTTAGCTTTGACATATATATAGGGTTAAGTTATAAGTTTCGGGGATTAAATTTTTAGATTTGTTTCTAATATACCAATGAATAGTTAGAATTTATCTATTTTTTTTTTGAAACAAAGAAACATTGAATTAAATTGAAATATAATACCACTAAGGGTTACATTTGAAGAGTGGTGACCACACATCATCATCACAATCCAAGGAGAAAAACAATTATCCCAAAAGACATAGAAACGATTAGAAAATGACACACTTGGCCAATAAAACAACTAAAAAACTAGGAATATGAACAAATTTTAGCCCATTGAACACCTTCTCAAAAGTCGTCGGGGGAGAATTCATAATTAATTGAGGTATCTTGTCGATTAAGGCACCCCTATTCACAATTGGAAGGTAAATAATTGCCTCCAAAGTTGTCTTATTATCCACCATGACAGGCAAGGAAGGATTAGACAAATTCGATAAATCATGCTGGTCACAAATCTTAATACAATTTAGACTAATAGCCTCCTCAAATTCCAAAACGGTATTTGAATCGATTGCCGCTGCACCTCCGTCACTGCCCACTTGTTGCTCCGACTTCCTTGCTCTTAGACCATGGAAGTTCTTTGAACCAAGATAACACGGAGATGAAGAGTCATCCTAAGAGATCGTAGGCGGGTGCCCTCTTCAATTCCGTACCTGATAACTCTTCGAAATGCCAAAATGACCAAGCCACGGACCATACATAATAATGTTGGTTTTGATTTTGTCAGGTACAACAACATGGTCAACATCCAACGAAGAGATCCCCAACATCCAACGAAGAACTAATACTCATGACTTTATTTTTTGTTTCACTAAAATTGTTGGTATAAATATAATTATTCTCACTTCTATATTATCAATATCCCTCTTCTCTAACTAACGTGCGAGACTTTATTGGCACTTCTAAAAATACTATTTTATACCGTTTACAGTCTTATTACAATAATTTTTTTTTTTGTTGATGAAGTAATTCCTGACAAAATTAGTTTCATTGGGAAAAGTACCTTATACGGAATTGTCGGTGAAGGTCTTATTGATGAGACTGGAAAATATTTAGTTCCATGAAATTGCAACTATTTTATTCGAGTTAAGATTCAATTGGATGAGATTGAAAAATAGTTAAGGTGCAACGATTGACTCAAGTTAATGAGAAAATTTGCATTTTCCCTTATTATTATTATTAAATTTTTGTGTGTGAAATCTTTAAAATAAAAACAGACTATTAGTCATTAGATACAAGAGAGGAAGATATAAAACAAAAAAAATACAACATAAACTTTTTGTCTATTATGAGCATAATATTATTAATTGGCTTACAAACTAGAAGATACGTACATATTTGTCCTAATTCAAATTTTTAGACCACATTTAATTTGAATCCCAACAACCCTTTTTCTACCACCAACTGAGAATTCATTTCTTGACAAAAGAAACAACCAAGTTGGTATACTTAGTTGTATTGGTGGACAAGTAATCTTGAACAATGGCCCCATATCGGTGGAACAAATCGTCCATAATATTGCCTCCAAAATGAGCTTCCAACATGGTCTCAACCACAGCCCTTATAGTGTTCGCCACTCTCTCTCCTCTGGACAGAATTTTGAGTCCACTCTCCGCCTCGGCGCCGAGCCCATCCCACTCCACTTCCAACTCTTCGAACTGATCTATAATGAATGACCCTTCTTTCTCTGTCTCCTTCTTCACTTCCTCCATGCATGGCGCGTAGTATGGCGCGTTAAATGAGTCAATTTTTTCCTCTTCAATCACACCCTGTCACCAACAAAAAGAAAACTAAGCTTAGAGATCATTAAAAAACTTTTACCACTTCCACTATTTGATTGGAAATATTCTTAGTTCCTTTTAATTAATATTTACAAGGATGACATAAAATTTACCCTCGAATAAATTCAATTTTTGCTACAATGGTAGTGCCTCGGTAGGTTTTTATGAGTTGAACCAAAAGAGAAGGCGAAAAGATACCAAATAACTTCCCATGTACTTTTTTCGTCTTGTTTTCTCTTTTGATTTTACTAAAAACCACGGAGTACTGTTATTTTATATATAATATATAGTAAGAAATGAATTTGTTGGTAAAAGTTTAAAATCAGTATTTTATTTGTCACATAAACAATAAACACTGATTCAAATATTTTACAAATTCATTTTATAAATTTATAGGATAAAAAATGCAATATAAATGTACCTGTGAAACCAAGGTGGTTAAAGCCTGTGCCAAGAGCTCCCAGTGATAGCAGCTATCTGCGGTTGTGGGGTCCAGGGATTTCCTCCCCATGAGAGTTAAAACCATACGCCCACCGGAAATCGTTTCTTCGGAACGCGATTTCATGAACGTCGAAAAGTCATTCCTAAACTGCGCACCGTACGCCTCCAACACGCTCTGGGGGCTGGTCGGAGAAATATAAAGCTTCCCTTTATTCATTGTCATTCTCCCGCCGTCGCCCTCCAAACCATCCGGAACCTTCGACAGCCAATGGAGGCTCGAAGAAGAGTGCACGAAATTCAGGCTGTTTTTGGGAAACAGCCGCCCATAGAAGGAACCGGGCACGCCGGAGACAAAGCAGGGGCCCACCTCGCCGGCGTTGTCGGCGAGGAGGCGGCGGTGGAAATCGGGCAGAGAGCCGAATATGTAGTTGAAGTCGTTGCTGAAGAGGTCGTTGAGGAAGACCAGAACTTCGGGCAACGGGCAGCCGAGGCGCTTGCATTCGGCGTAGAGAAGGTGGAGAGCGTGGGAGATTAGGTGCAAGGTGTTGGGCCCGGAGGAGCAGCCCAAGTCCGCTATGGCTATGCTCTGCTGCGGCGCGGCGCACGAGCTTATCATGGACTCGATCGCTTCCTCCGTGATCCGCTTCGAATCGGATATGATTTTGCTCTGAAGCGACGAGTTTTTGGCGTAGCTCCTCTCTCCGCCTCCCTTGTTCATGCACAGAATTTGCGCAACTTCCATTTTTTTTTTTTTTTTGGTCTTGAAATTGAACAAGTGTTCTGAAATTTAACTGATTGGTGAAGAAGATGGCAGAGGTTGCAGGCAATATATATAGGCTTGTATATGGGAAACGTGGAAAACGAGAAATTAATCCACGGGCTAAAACATTTTGATAAATTGAAAAATTTTTAGTTATGGACCATGCTCTAAAATTTTCACGCACAAATGTAACTCAATTTGTCAAGGTATTATTTAATTTTGGTAAAAGTCAAGTTTTTAATCCCTTAGTGATCTTATTGAACTAAAAAAAATGGTTACTAGAGATTTCGGACGTGACTAGAAATTTTCTTACCTGCGGTGGAAGATATTTTACATTTTAACCTTTTTTATATATGATCTCTCAGTTAAAAAAATGTATAGGTGAAAATTAGAGAGAGAATTTTAAATACTAAAGTTTATTTTAATTTTAATATATATTTGTATTGAACAGTTATTAGTGTTTTGTGGTGCATATATGGCTCTGTAGAAAAATATCTTTTACTTTTGTGGTTGTGATTTGATGTGATGCTAGGTCACTTTAGTGGTTTTGCTGGACTGGCTGGTCAGAATATGTCTCTGCTTTTGGAGAGAGCTAATCACTTTTTTTTCTTTTTTCTTTTTTCTCCTTTCTTCTTTGTCATTAAGTTGAAATGAAATTTGAAAGATAATAAAGCAGACGTGGCAAAAATATACTTTGCTTTCTCATTCACTCACGCTTAAACAGTACATTATATACACGTGTAACAGAGTAAAAGAATAATCAGTAACTAACTAAACAACTGGTTAAGCTAACTAAATAATAATATGTAATACTCCCCTCAAAGATGGATAGTAGATATCTAAGACGGCCATCTTCGACCATAAAAGAAACAAAACAAAAATAGAAATAACTTTTAACGAACGCATCAACTAACTGCATACATGAGACCGAATTAAGAAGAAGTTTGATGAAGTCATCTAGAATTTTATTACGAAAAAAATGACAATTAAACTCAATATGTTTCATACCCTCGTGAAATGTGGAATTAGAAGCAAGACGTACAACAACCTTTTATCACAAAGAAGAAAAGTAGGAGGAAGTAATAGAAATATGCAAATCAATGAAGAAAGTCAAGCTAATTAAGCTCGATATTCAACTTCTGTAGGATAATGAGATATAGTAGATTGTTTTTGGGATTTCTAGAATACTAAAACATCACCAAGAAAAAAAAAAGTGGTAGGGCGACGTGTATCAAGATATGAAGCCTAGACGTACGTAAAAATGTGGCCACGATTTATACTATGGGATGTAAAAAAGGGCCGTTCATAAAAATTTTGGAGGATAGCTAAGTAGTATTTTACCTTACAATAATTAGGAAGATTTTTAGAGTTCGTTTTAGTATTTAAAATAAGAGGTAAATTTGCAAACCTGAATATATGGGATGTAAAAAAGGGTAGTTCATCAAAATTTTAGAGGAGAGCTAAGTAATATTTTACCTTACAATAATTAAGAAGATTTTTAGAGTTCGTTTTAGTATTTAAAATAAGAGGTAAATTTGTAAACATTAATATGACTCAATTAAGGTACTTATGTCCAACTAGAATGTTGTGAGTTTAAATCTTCATCCCACTCGTTGTATTGGAAAAATAATAATAGTAATAAGAGGTAAATTTGTAGAGTTGAACTAAAGATTCAAATGTTTGGTTTTATGGTTTCATGGTTTTATTTAAAGAATTTAGCAAGTGTTGTTTCATTTGTTTAGGGGTTTTATTTAAAGAATTTACTTTGTTTCGTAATCTATAGTTTAAAATACTAAATAAATTTTCATATCTTGTTTTCCTTCTAATGAAATTTGGCAAATAACTCACGAATATATATTTTGACGAGACATTATAAAATGGAGTTTTACTGATTTATTTTTGTTTATTAAACAAAATAATTTTGAACCATTTTTCTCTTCTTTTTTTCCCTTATAAAGTGGCCACCCCGAGAAAATCAATTCGGTAGAATCGAGGTCGGACTGAATTGACAATTCACATTCAGAATGTCATATTTTCATACTTTGTGCTGAATTTAAAAACCAACTGATTTTCTTTTTGTTTGACAAGAAAACCAATTGATTTAAAGAATATATCCTCCAATTTTTTTTTTATCAAGTAAAAGGTAAAAGTTTAACGAATTTACTTTTTGAACTTCATCAATTAATTTATCTACATTTCATATCAATATATTCTTACTAACAACAATGTTGAAAGAAAAATATTCATGGAATAATCAATCAAGCAATCAACTATCAAGAGCTAGAGCTACCAATCAAGGCTCAATCCACCAACCTTTACGAGAAGATGCTTCTTTTAGAAGTTGGGAAACACTACAGTACATAAATTAGTTCTTTCATTTTCACAATAAAGCATCGTATTCTTTCATTATCGTGTATACCAAAGTTAGGAGGGTATTCTATTTTCAATGATTTTGCGGGAAAAAGTACTGATTAAATATTTCTATCTAAAGCAAATTATATGGTTGGGTGTTATAGGGTTCGTTTGGTAACATTCATGTTTCTTGTTTCCGTTTCTTCATTTTTAATAAACAAAAATGAATTGCATGGTTCTAACACCCATGAATTCAAGTATGATAAAACAATTTTTTTAATTATATTTTGAAACAAAGTGGAAATGAGAACAAGAAAGAAAAACTTATTTTGATTGTTTCCAAAATTTCTATACAATTTTGAGAATATTCCCAAATAAGAAGATACAAGAAACAAAATTACTTGCAAAATACTTATATTTTCTGAAGAAAATTGGAAACGAGAAACAAGAACGAAAACGTTACCAAACGAGTCCATAACTTCTAGATTACTTTAGAGTACTTTTATTTAATTTAGAGCTGTATTTAAAAAAAGATTTATGTTGTTTTACTAAGATAGATTGTATAAGGATGACTATTTTTTTTAGATTTAAGATAACTATTGGTAATTGTATTTTTTGAGAGAAACATTTTTTTCTATAAGTATTTTAAAGAAAAATGTTTAAACTTTATTGGAGTAGGGATATCTTTTATTCATTTATCTACTGTCTATATAAAAAAGTATTTGAAATGAGGTTTAGGCCGTTTAAGTTTTCTAACAAATTTGGCGGTCTTGTAAAAAATTAATAATAGAACTAAAATGATTATTTATGAAAACTTTAAGAATTAAAATAAAAAAGTTTCATAACAATAAAATATAAACTTAAAAAAAATGTTATTCAAATGTTTTTTAGATTTTTTTAAGGACTATCAACTACGTAAATGTATTCTTTTCTTGATTACGGAAAGTTATGAATTTATGCCAAATACGTTCTATAAAATGTTATCTAAACTAAATGGTGACTAATTGTAACTGTTCTTTGATTCTTTATATATATAATATTACATTCTCTAATTTTTGGTACGAACAATCTGCGTCGTTTATGTCTATGAATAAATTTTATCACTTGCCACTTTTTTTTGTAGGACAAAAAGAAAAAAAAAATTATGTTTTTTCTCTGTTGTGCAACTTTACTCTCTTATTTATCAACATCAATCTTCTCATTCTGATATTCTTTCATATGGTTGGAAGAAAGTAGTTGATAGCATATAACATATGTGAGAGAAAAATTTTAAAAGTGTATTTATGGCCATGGTTATGTCAATATACTATATTTTCAAATAATTTTTGCCTTCTAGGTGTAGGTAATTTTTTTTAATACATCAAATGTGGACGTCTAGTCTCAAGAGAATGCATTACGTGCCTTATGAATCATGTTCATGTTAGTGGATATAGGTGAATTAACATAGAGAGAAAAACAAGTATTTTCACAGACCATGAACTTAGCTTAACAATTATTAATACACATTTTTTATTAAAAGGTTATGAGTTCGAATTGTTGATCGTACTAAATAACAAAGTATTTCGAACCTTATTTGGTTTTTTGTTTACTACTTCAATGGAATTGGTGAAAGAAGTGGCAGATAAAATGTTATTTTAATCTTAAATAATGATGAATTTTGTAGTGTGAGAGATGAGTTTCGTGACGGAACATCAAACATTTATTAACCGCATGAAAATATTAGGTGTTGTATTGAATAATTAAGGGATAATTATTCAAACTAAATGCTCGAGTACTTCACACAATTTCTTAGATTTTTTAACGGATTATTAGGCGTTTGGATAAAGTGTAATTAGGAGCAACAGAATGCGGGTAGGAATATAATGGACATAGATTCTGATGTTGTCGGCAACGCCAATAAGGAATAAATTTGGATTGGAATTGGCAGCAAAAGTCAATGAATGCAACTTGGGATAAGCTTTTAAGACATTTATATATATCTTTGAATCGAACCAATGGGGCTGTAGCAATGCTTTCCTGTCGGTTCCTAATTCCAAGTACTGTAACAATTAATAATAATAATAATAATAATAATAATAATATGGTCCCCGGTCCCCAATCCCCCACCCATCCTCTCCCTCTTTCTTTCCTTTCCCATAAATCTTAAATCCCACGTGTGCCAATTCTAATAAAATCAAAATTCCATGTGTGCCCTTTACGTCCTCCAAATTGGTGCTTCGATTGTAATATTTGACCGCATTTGACCTGGAAATTTTCTAGTACTAGAATAGTTTCCTTGTTAAACATGTCAATTATCAACCACGTTTGAAACCGTATGGAATTCATAAAACAAAACAAAGATGAATGATTAAGTAAGTTATAGTAATAAAGTTGGTTAAAAGGGTAGTTGGTAACCAATATGTTATTAGACATTATATTGATGTTGTAAAGAGACTTAATATATTGGAAGATATATTGAAAATGGAGAGAAAAATATATATCGTATGGAAAATTAAGGAATTTTTAAGGATATAAATAAATTCATGGAAGTCGAGCACATTAGAAGCTAAAGAACGGCTTCCAAACTTACCCGTGAGGGTTCTACGAGGTTTTACTTTTATATATATATTTGCAAACGACGTTATTTTTAGAGAAAAATATACTTTTCTCACTAAAATTGTTAATATTGAATCAATTTTTACTTTAAATATTTTCCAATCTTGAACTTAGAATAAAAGAGATTTTAAGACTTTAATCTAGAGCTATAAAATAGGTGTGAATAATAATAAAAGAAATAATAAATATATCAACATTATTAATAAGATACATATTAACATTTATATTACAAACTGATTTAACTACACAAGTTTAGTTAATGGACTTAAGTCGAGAGGTAATGGAGACTCAAAGAAGAGTGCACGAAATTAAAAATATTTAACAAAACATTATATACGTGACTTTTTTTAAATGTGAGGACTAAATAAACATCAATTTTAAAAGATATTTGAATATCTACTGAAAAAAAAAGAGAAAAAATGGGGGACGAAACTTGTAATTTGACCTAATTTTAGGAACTTTCGTAGTGGCAGATGCTTCGCGCCAATGCTCCCTTTCCCTCTCATTCGAATGAGTGGATTGTACCTGATATGATATTCAGTTTCAAGAAACTCCGGGGGACGGAGACGATCCTTACGCAGACGCCGCTGATAGGACTTGCCGACACGACGAAGCTGCCGAATTTGTTCTTGCATTGCTTACAATGGATCCTCGCCTTCGAACGTACGTTTTAGTTCTACGCGTTTCAATTTCCTCTTCTCTGTTTTGCTGTGGAATCGTATTCCTCGTGAATTTTTTTTATAGAACTCCTGAATTAGCATTTTGCATCTGAACAATGGTTTAGTATTGTTTCTCTGTCTCTGTCCGTTTGCTCTCTCTTCAGTTTGCTTCTATTATTCTCGATTAGTTGTTTGATTATTCTGGTTACAATGCAGAAGTGCAGTGGATGTAAACTACTATTATTCTATTTATGACTCATCTTGATTTTCTTTCTAATCAACTTTATTTGTTAAGTTCTCCATTTCAAGATTTAAATTGCAAATTTGGGGGAAAAACTTGTCAAATAACAGATAGCGGGGTAATCTCTAATTATAGCCACAGTGCTTGTTTTAGAGAACTACATAAGTCAATGATAGTAGTAAAAAATATCAATCAAGTTTAAGAACGATGAATCAATGAATCGGCTTCAGTATTTGTATCTCTGAAAAATAATTCAAGCATTTAATTTAGCTACAGATATGAGCTTGAAGTGCTACTTTATGTTGATTCACATCCTTTTATTAGAAGGTTACCAAACATTCATTCCGTGCAATCTTTTAATTGATGAATAATCTGCTTCAAATCTTTTGTTAATTTGCATTTTCTTTTTGTCTCCATTGTAGTAATCAGAATGTCATTAATGGTAACCTTTTATTTTTATTATTTTTTTTAATCTCAGATGCTGCTCCTGAAGGTAAAAGCTGCATTTCTGTCTAGATAAAGGTATTTTCCCCGATAATTAGGAAGCATTTGATCTACCCGCTGAATGCTGATCTCTCTCTTATTTCTTTAGTTCCCTTGATGATATGATATGATAATTCTGATATTTTTTTTTCCAAACTAGCCAAAATGTGGGTTTCTTCAAACCTTCAACATTCATAACTTAGGGAGGAAAAAGTTAATGCCTTGTGCTCAATAACTTAGGACATCCATAGCCCATACTTGTGTTAGAATGCACCAGCAGTAAAGTTGCATTAAGTGGATGTAGTTTCGTTTCCCATTTTCTGCTTAGTGGTAATAATAATTTATGTTCTTTCACGTCTCTTCGGAGACATCTGAGAATAATTTAGGTTCTTTCACAGTTCCAATCAGTGATTATGTCTGCATCTATATTATAATGTCATATAAGTTCCCGTTACTCTGTTTCCTCTATCTGGTCTTGAGCACTTAGATTTTTTCAAAAATGCTCGCCTAGGCATCTAGTATACATAACAGATATTATCACTGACACAGACCATCAATATATTTGAAGGATAGGATTTTTGGAGTAATCTCTTCCAGTATTTATCATGAATGGTTCTCAAATGCTTGGAACTTTGGTCAGTGACGATATTCATTCTAATTTGGAGATTAGGAAAGGATTTGAAGATCCTCTCAAATCTACCAAGAGAGAAGATGACCAGAGAACACTGTAGAAAACTCAGATTTCTAGATCCAGTAGCTACTTGAGGTTAAGAAGCATGATAAATGTAGGTATAGATGGGGCTATTTATGCATACCATCACAGAATAACTTTCTTTTTGAGAAAAATAAGTAAAGAAAAGCAATGGAAAGCTGCCCCACTATTTCCTTAATCTTCCACGAATTCCAACAAAAACCCAAAATCCACTCATTTTATTAAAAAGAAAAAAATTACGTCCTAACAAATAATACATTTAACATTTAAACAAAAATCCGGTTTGCGTTAAGAAAAAAAGAGGAAAAAGGAGTATTTGAAAGTTCAGGGAGAAAGATAAAACAATAACATACGATTTAAACTAGAAAAGATAGATTTATCTTATTATTTTGGATTGGACCCATCTTCCAACCCTTTTCGACTACCGAATCAGTTCATTTCTTGACTAAAGAAACAACCAAATTGGTATTAATAGTTTCATCTTTATTCCTTGATAAGTGATCTTCCAGAATCTCTCCATATAGCTCAAACAAATCATCCATAATATCACCTCCGAAATGAGACACCAGCATATTTTCAACCACAGCCCTCATGGTCTTCGCCACTTTGTGTCCATTCTGAGCTTCGTCGGTGGAGTCAACCCACTCCACCTCGAATGCTTCAAACCGATCTATAACGAACGATCCTTCCTTCTCTATCTCCAATTTCACTTCCTCAATGCATGGTGCATAGTAAGGTAGGTTGAACGAGTCAACTTTTTCTTCTTCAACCACTCCCTATGGCCCAACAAAGAGAAAAAAAGGAAAAAAAAAAGTTTTCTATATTGTTCATTATTAAAGTTAAAGCTGAAAGAGAGTCGAATAATCAGTGGACATAGTTACAACCACACCAAGAAGAAAGGTACAAAATCCTCCAACTCTACACATACTTTTTAGGCAACTTTCTATCAAGGGGACAAAAGCTATATGAATATCTCTTAAAACACTCTACTTTAAAGAATGTTTAATAGGTTTCAAATTTTTCCTAACTTGCACAATAAGTTTTATGAACTAATAATAAAAAATAAAAAAAATTACTAGAGTTGTAA